AGCGGGAAAATGTAACATTATTTTATATGGGATGTATCCGGGACCGGACAAAACGGACGATGCATCCGGGAAAACGATAGTTCCGGGAACGATGGATAGAGGTTTCACTGTATTTGGATACTATAGATAGTGATAGTGACATTATTCCGGAAAGTGTGTCTGATTCTACTGAACGTGATGACCACAGTGCTGCAGAAACAAAAGGCACACCTGCTTGCACTATGCCCGGCATTGAATTTCCATGTGCATTGTTTTACAAAAAGTGTTGTAGTTCAGGAATAGATAACAGTAGACACCAAACTCATATCACACTATGCAGAAATAAATGTTCTTTATTGCTGGATGAGTGATGAAGAAGGAAGACAAAACTCAATTTATGATTTTAATTCCTGAAAATGAAAGAGTTTTTGTAAAAATTATTTTTCAATATTTCAAAATTTTTTGTAAGCTAAGTATAACATTAGAATTTGTCTTTTTTTTTCCTAGTTTACAGGATTGAATGTATAAGTATAATTTTTTCATATGTATGTGTGTAAAATTCTTATCTTGGTGAATTTTTACATTTTAAGCTGTAAATACGTGAAAATTGGCCTGGGGGTTTTCAACAGGATTTTGCAAATAGGCTTCGGGGTTAAAAGGGTTAACACCCTGAGCAATGAATGCAGCATAATAAACATACATAATGCACCTGATTTAGACCATGCAATTCTCGTTCTTCCTGATTCTTTCAGATTTTTGTGGACATTGTAAAGAAAATAGAAAAGCAGTGGGGATGAGAATCCCCTTATTTTAGTCAATTTTGAATTGGAAATGTAACAAATGCAAACCTGTATTTATACATATTCTGCTAAAGATTTCATGCACGCGTGTTTAATGACAGGTTTTATGGGTGCAGTAAATTTTGTTGAATGTTACACATTTTTATAAATAGCTAATGTGTGAGTTCATTGCGGTACAATGTTCTCTCTCTCATTTTATTTCTTTGGAGTGGGAGAGATAGATAAGTTTTGTCAGTAGGAGATGCATTTTGATAAAATTTACATTATTGTTTTAATTATAACTTATAATATTGTGCAGTTATATATTTTATTGAAATTTGTTATTATTGACAGTTCATATGAGCAAAGTAAATTAATATGTCATTAAATACAAGGCTTACTGTTGTGTTCTTTGAATTGAAAATTTTTGTTGTTTTCTGTTTGCCATACAATATTGTTACATGTCATGGAATTGTATATATTGGATCATACAGAGTTCTTGATATTACCTCATCATGTTCCTCATTCAGATGATGTCTTAAATGGTATTTGGGATAAAATGTTTTCAGGTGACAGCTGAGAGCATTGAAAAACAAGATGATGACACATTACTGAAGTGTATGATTGATATTTGCGAATCTGCACCCAAGTTTCTCAGACCACAACTAGACTGCATTCTTGACCTCTGCATGAAAGTAAGTTGAAATGGAGCCTTATGATTGGTAGGCTGTTTTGTATAATGTTAAATTATTCTTCCTCCTCCTCTTCTTCTTCTCCTCCTCCTTCCTCTTCTTCTTCTTCTTCTTCTTTTTCTTCTATGGCTGTCCGGTCCTTATTCGCTCCATGGCCTCCTCAATTATCCTCTTCCATTTGGTCCTCTGTTGGGTCTGTCTGTCCGAGGCTTTGATTGAGGTTTTGAAACATCTTCCTTTTTACGGTGCTAGGTTGTTAGCCTTGCGACCAAGCCCCAACCTGGGGGACTATAATGTTAAATTGGTTTTATGAATTGGTGACTCACTCTTACTTCTGGGCCTAGGGTTGTAGTCAGTACATGAAAAACCAGGCTGAATTTTCCTTTAAATACATGTCATTTATCTTAAAACATTACTTGGTTTTCAAGCAAGTTACTAGACACAGATATATCATGTAAGATAATAGATCTTAGGTAAAGCAAAAGGTAATGATAAAGGTAGATTTGTAGGATATGGTGCAATATTAACATGATTTTTTACCTTTTACGCTCTTATACCATTCATCATTATTACAGCAGTAATAATCCACTGAAGACTAACATTTACCTGTATAATTTACTTGTTGGTGAAGTAATTTTTTTTAAATTGCAGTTACAATATAATACTATTCAAATCAGAATTTCTCTATACACTTTGCACTACAATGCTCTAAATTCGCTTGGAATAATTATGTAAGTCACAATATTTTGCTACTGTCAGTGAAAGATCTTTTTAAGTTACAGTAACTGTATTTTGATAGTACTGTGGTTCCTTGAATAATATGAAGCTATACATGATCTGCGTGGGGCACATATTGCTCATTTCCTCTTCTTAAATTTGAATTTATCATCAGTTTTCCATGAACTTTTGGCTTTGTTACTGTTCTCTTAAAATCATCATTTTGACAGCACAGTTACAATTGTAATTTAAACCAGGGTTTGGTTTGGTTTTCACCATGACAGTGACCAAATAGTAGTTAAGGAAATATATTTCTGGGTATAGTTATATAACAGCATTTCTGGGTCTTGCTATTGTAAAGCTTCTTAACTAACAGTTGTATAACATAATGTTTTGTAAATCAGGTAGTTTCAAATGATGATATACCAGATTCTTGGAGACACTTGGCACTGGAGGTGATGGTAACATTGGCAGAAACAGCACCAGCAATGCTGCGCAAAGTTGGGGCCAAATACATCCCATTACTAGTACCCCAGGTGCTTAAAATGATGACTGACATAGAGGATAATTCTGATTGGAGTGTGTCTGATGAAATCGTAGATGACGATAATGACAGGTAATGCCAACGTGTTCGGTAATACAATTGATATCTGGTTATTCATTTAGGTAGATCCTACTAAGGATGTTGCTCTAAAAGTAAATGCAGAGGAAACTAAGTATATATTTATGTCGCATCAGCAGAATACAGGAAAGAATCATAATATCAAAATTACATTAATGAAGAAACAGATAGCATGCTACATTTGGGCATTTGGGGAATGTGTTCCTTATTCCTATCTATAAACCTAAAGATTAGAATGTAAAAAAAATTGTTATTTTACTTGTATTGGTTTCTCACCCCATGGGAAGATCATGGATGAAGGCATTTGAGAACAGGATGAGAATATCTGAACCTAAAGAGTGAGAGGAAGTAACCGGATGGAAAATGTTGCATAATTAGGCTATTCACAGTTTGCATTCTTTTCAAATATTAGGATGATTGAGCCAAGTGGTTGATATGTGTGGGACATGCAGCATGCGCAGGGGAAGTAAGACATGCATTTAAGGGACCAATGTGAAAAGGACGTGGTTTTACTTTAACAAACACAACAAAAATATATTTAGAAACTCTAACCTTTGCGTAAGGTCACAGCTTGGCATTTCTCCCTTTTTATGGTGTTATTGTAACTAATGACTTGAGCCACTCTATTCTTTTACCAATACATGGGCAATTGTTCTTTAAATATAAGAAAATAGTGGAACTAACTTCAGGACCCTTCAGTTCTAGTTGACAAACCAGAAAGGAAGGGACTATTTGTGGCAGGCATTGATGGTGTGGATGTTTATGAAGTATGTGGACTGAATCCATCTGATTCAGGGTAGGGTCCAGTCCTTTGGATTGGAAATATGTATTTCATAGCTAGTTTAATTACTGTTAGCTTCTCAAGGAGTTTATTCCATTGAATTATTTATGCAAAATATGTAGAATTACTGATAGAAGTTTGTTTTGGAATCTGTATTTTGTTTGGAGTTCTTGTTTTGTTCTTTCATAGAATTATTCTATTGAATAAATTATTTTTTACAGCAACACAGTTGTAGCTGAATCAGCATTGGATCGACTGTCATGTGGTCTTGGTGGCAAGACCATGATGCCACACGTGGAACAAAACATCCCAGGCATGCTTTCCAACCATGACTGGAGATACAGGTGTGGAAAGTAGAAGATAAATTTGTGTTACTTCCCCCTTAAGTCATCTGTTACCACATGCACCTTCCTTTCATTACTCCAAATTGCTTGAGATTTAAAGATTTTCTTTCATTAGAGGCTGTCTGCCCTAATGTTAGGGGCAGGTTTAGGCTGATTTTATCATATTCCTTGATTGTGCCACTTAAAATTCTTTATAGACTATTTTTTTGTTGAATGATTTATGGAATTTTGTTGAAAGTAATGAATTATAAAAAAGACATTTCTGTATGAAGCATCTTGTTGAATTATTGTTTTTCTTTCAAATTCATAGTTTCATATTTCCCAGTAGCAGCCAGCTTTGTAATGTTTGCAAATACTTGCTACTGTGAGAACCTAAAATCCACTTTGCAAGTATTTTATATTTTGAGGTTACATAATTTTAACATGTGAACTTTTAATCATTTTGTGCTTTTGCTGTCTGGTCATACCTCACAAGATGTATGTCACACCATTCAGTCTCAATATTTTGCTGCTAAAATTTTGCAAAATTCATAACTGGTTTTGTGTGATCTTGCTTTTCATGAGGGTGCTGCTGAGTTTATAAGTAGACTTTTTATCTTTACAGGCATGCAGCTTTGATGGCCTTGTCAGCTGTAGGCGAAGGTTGTCATAAGCAAATGGAAGCAATGTTGCCCCAAATTATGGATGGAGTTCTCAGTTTTTTGCAAGATCCTGTAAGTACATTAAATTATACAGTAGATACATAGCCCTTGGTGGACTAGTGTTTAGCATGCTTGTCACTGGGCCCAAGGTTTGTGGGTTCAAACCTGGCCAAGGTGGATGAATTTTGAAGGGTGATTAAAATCCGTAGCACAACTTCCTTCAGAGGGGAAGTAAATCTGGTGGTCCCATGTTGTAGATTTACAGCACACAAAAGAACCTTTCAAGCATGAGTGAGATGTTTTGTAAGCAAAATTCAGCGGCCATTTCTCACCGAAGTCTCTCCTGATTCTCTACTAGATGGCTGTAGCAGACAAATCAGAGTGAGCAGAAATTGTGCAGAGTCAGTGGGATTGTCACTCACTGCTCACAAATGCACACTTCAAAGACAAAGAAACCTCCCACATGGGAGGAGGCCAAGGTCTGAACTTGGGCAGTAGCGCCATTGAATGGTTGGATGGAGAGATACAAAAAATTGTTGGAAGTAACTTATAAAGGATTTGTAAATTCAGCTTGCTAAAGAAAATATCAAACCAGAGAAATTTTTACTGTATGTACAAAGCATACTTTTCTTTATTCACAAACACACAGTTCTGGATAATTTTGATTATTTACATGTTAAAAACCACATTCACAGACAGCCAGGACTGGATTAATGTTGATTTTGTATCAGAACTTTGGGCATGGTTTGGTAAATTAAATGGTTATAAGAAATTCTTGTGTTTTAAGCATGTTTGCATCCTGTTAACTTTTGGAAGCCCAATATAACAAAATATACCTTTCTTTAACAGTCATTTAACTCAGCATTTTGTTCTTATGAGTTTTATATAATTCTCATTGTGAACAGGGATTACAGGTAGCCCTCGATTTGCGCTGATTCAGAATGACACCGATTTTGAAACCAGCAAGTCAAAAAGTGGAAATAATATATTTTACTATTACTTATAATGTTTTACAAAGTATCTCATACTGATTCTTACATCGCTTATTTTGAATAAAAATTATAAATACAGTCATCTCTGCAATTACATTTGTTTCGTTAACATGAATTGGCTCCAATGAGATTGATTAATTGATAAAAGCTGTTTATGAAATGCAAACTTTTGCATATGAGAGTTTGCTGTTATGCAATTTCATTCCTGACACTTTAAACTCTCAAAGGACTAACTTGATCTCTGCGGAGGTACCGGGGTTATTTTTACTAAGCGATTTTATATACGTCGGCGTCTTACATGGATGCAACTATCGCATAACAGCAGAAATGACTGCCCATCAATCACATGAAAGAATTGTGGGGACCAGCGAATTGCCGATTGCAAGTGTATAAAATATATTTTTTAAATTCCCTTTATTTTATTTATGTTATTTCAGAGCTTTAAATATAATGCCATTATATTACTCGTCAATGTTTGGGTGCTGGGGACGCATGTCATTGACTTCCCATTGATTTACATTATAAAAAAGAGTTTCAGTTTACGCCAGTTCGTCCAGGAACGCATCCCCGGTGTAAATCAAGGGCTACCTGTATTTGCTTAAACAGCATTAACTGGTTGATCTTTGTAGTGGAGATGTGTTGTGTTTTCTTTGTGATATGCACTGGATTCTTAATTGTTATTTGGATTAGATTAGTTTCAAAGCTTAAAACCACTCTGCCCCTTTGTCCATACATGTGATATGACTTGAAAACAAACAAACTGATACTGAGATCATTTAAATATGTTGTTTTTAAGTTTACTGTGAAGTAATAAATATGTTTTAGTGATGTTAATATTCATTTATTTAGCATCCGCGGGTGAGATATGCAGCCTGCAATGCTATTGGCCAAATGTCGACAGATTTTGCTCCACTCTTTGAAAAGAAGTTCCATGATAAAGTTGTGCCTGGACTTCTTATGGTCCTAGATGATAATGCTAACCCAAGAGTTCAGGCACATGCAGGGGCTGCACTTGTAAATTTCAGTGAAGATTGTCCAAAAAACATCCTCACCCAGTATCTTGATGCCATCATGAGTAAACTGGAATCTATACTGAGCACAAAATTTAAGGAGGTAAGACCAACTACCACTGTTAACAGCCACCATATCCAATATTTCACTGAATATAGGGTCTGTGTACATGTATTTTGTATTTTTATAGTTACGATCAAAACTGAAACTTGCCATTATTAGTAAGAACTGGCCATTATCAATAAATACAGTTGTCAAAATCAGCCATATAATAGTAATGATGATAGTTTGGCCGGGTACAATAAGTGAAAACATTATTTTCTTTCAGTGTTTATGTTAAACAATTTGCACAGGGACAATATGAATACTATAAAGTGTAATGCAGAAGTGAGGAGGCTAGGGCTCAATTTTGGGCTGTTACGCCATAGTAGTAGTAGTAGTAGTAGTAGTAGTAGTAGTAATGCAGAAGTGCTCCCAGACGCTAATAAAGAAATTGGTAAATACAGATAAAACTGAAAATGAACATAACATGAAAATAAAATTTGCAACTATGTCATAATGTAACTAACAATAAATTATTTGAGAATATTTCAAAATTTAAGTATCTGGGAACAATGAAATTAGGAGAAGAATAAATTCTGGAAATGTTTGTTATTAGTTTGAAACCTGTTATCTTCCTTTCTACTTTCCAAAATACTTGAGATTAGAATATACAAAACAGTTTTTCCAGTTAATTCTAAAGGGTTCGAGCAATTAGTTTATTGCAGTTGCTATTGCTGGTTTCTGGTCCTTGTCCATCATCTGGTATTCTGAATAGAATTCATTGTTTTGGAAAGTGAATTTGGTTTTGTCCTCACCTAAGAATGGAGGGTGAAGACATTGTAGCTTTTGTGATTTTGTTTGTAGTTAGTGGAAAAAGGCACAAAACTTGTGCTAGAACAAGTTGTAACAACAATTGCTTCTGTTGCGGACACATCAGAGGAGCAGTTTGTGAAATATTATGATGGCTTGATGCCCTGCCTTAAATATATTATCCAGAATGCGAATACAGAGGAACTGAAGATGCTTCGTGGGAAAGCTATTGAATGTGTTAGTCTTATTGGATTGGCAGTTGGTGCTGATAAGGTTAGTAATGGTCAGATATAAAGACTTATGTAGAAATTTACTTTTAACCCCTTGTGTTCTTATACTGAAGTTGCCTTGTGACACTGAGAGCCTAGACATCTACTTCACGTCTCTAATTAATTTTAGTCCTTTGGTAATTTAAATACAACTTTATAGAAGGGATCAGGAATGACAGATCCTTATAATTCCTGATCTGAAAATATTATGCCTGGATTAAAAGATATAAATTAAATGAACTAGCTCAATTAAGCAGCATCCTTGAGGGGCTTATACTAATTTAGCAGGCTAGACATTCCATGTCTGCTGTAAAACCTGTTCACAGATCATGAATGGACTGTATACTGAGTCACTGGAATCCAGTCTACACCCTCAGACTCTTTTTTTTTTTCAAATTCGTTCTAATACTGTATCTTCACCTAGGTGTCCCAAGAAGTTTTATTCCTCTGAGCAGAAGAAAATTAAATATATTTTTAAATTTGGTTTTGCACTTTATGGATGATAATAAGTTATTTACTAAAAGATTAGTATATGTGGACCAAAGCTAGAAATAAGCGGGCTTGCCACCATTTTGTTTGTTTGTGCATCTATACAGAAACAATACAAATGTAACTTCCTACTATCTGAAATCAAGTGAAATGCAGGTTGTAGTACATACGTTATAATTACATCAATTATGCCCTATCTTAAGCAGGTAAGATACAGAATGTAACACATATACCACTATAATTACATGTATTAACCCCACAGCTTTGCTATGGGTGGTCTAGTTTCATAAAATTTTAGAATATTTTATATAAAAGTTGAAACAAAATGTTCTCAATTATGGTTCTTATAATTTTGAATAAATTTTGCTAATTTAGCAAGGGTGTCATTCTATGTATTCTTTATTTGACACATGCATGTGTTGTAAGAGAATTTTATTAATAGAGAAACTTCAAATAGAGCTGGATAACTTGAAGTAATGCTGATGTGTTAGAGTACTACTTTATAGTATATGTTTGTCCAGTTTATGCGTGATGCAAGTGAAGTTATGGACATGTTGCTGAAGACACAGACAGAAGGAGATTTACAGGACGATGATCCTCAGACTTCATATCTCATCTCTGCCTGGGCAAGGATATGCAAGATACTAGGTTGGTAAACAGGTTTAAAATACATTATAACACACTTTATTAAGAAACATGCTTAAAATGAAGGAAGAAGTTGTAGATAGGTAATAACTGCCTCTATTTACACTAACAGCAATTAATATTTTCTGTATTGATTCACTATATTCTCTCCTTTATCTCAGAAGAAGTTCTTTGTACAAAAAACGAGGGTGTATTTTCTCTCTTATTGATTAGCATAGCTGTTAGATAACAATTTTTTACATGGTTTACATTTAATGAAATATAACAATAATTTAGTCCACCCTTCAGTGAAAGAAGTGTTCTGTTTATGATTTGATATAGAGACTAAATTTCACCAGAATTATTTATTAAATGAGAAAACATTTGAATTTGCAGGGAAACAATTCGAACAATATCTACCTTTAGTGATGGGCCCTGTAATGAAAGCTGCATCTATGAAGCCTGAAGTTGCCCTTCTTGACAATGAGGATATGCAAGGCATTGAGGGAGACATTGATTGGCAGTTTGTCTCTCTTGGGGAGCAGCAGAACTTTGGGATTAAAACATCAGGTAATTTCTGATCATTTTACATAATTGTTATAGAAATAAAAAAATGCCTATTATCTATGGATCACCATTAATTGATGCAGCACTGTATTGTGTTTGGTCATCAAAAGTTTATATTTCTTCTCACTGAAACAGTTTTAGTAGTAAGTTTTCTCTCCAGTATCTGGTCATGCTGAGTTAGCCACAGGAAGCCAGGATGCTGCTGTGAATGTCATATTGTAGTGGTTAGTACTCTTGCTTTGTATATGGTTCAGATCTTGATTAGAAGACCTGCCATTCTAATAGGTATTTCTGGTTTTAGCAGATATAGATGACCTTCCTGAAAATTTGGTAAGTCAGATTGATGTGATTGATGTGTATTTACAGTAGACACTGCTGTACTGTTGCATTTCACTTGTGACTTGTTCTAGAGCAGAAAATAAGGAGGAGGATGATCCTATTTAAACCATTTTTGGGGTGCATAGGAGGCAAATATTTATCTAGTGTTTACAGTATTTTTATGTATTATAATTAAACTTGTTTCCTTGTGTTGAAAATTAAGTTAGTATGTTGGACTTTATTTGACCCTAACTGATTATCAGCTCTTTAGAAACACAAATGAATTTACCTTCAAAGGTGCCTTCAAATCCATGTGGAATGTTAAAATCACTTTATCCATCTATACTCATCTGACAACTCAAGAAAAGTTGAATAGATTTCCATGAAATTTAAGATGGGGGAGTTTACTACAATTTGTTGACAAATTCCAATTTGGGTTAAGATTAAGCAAAAATAGTAGGCACTTTGCACAAAGAGCTACTTGTGCTTTCCTGTGTATGGAATTCCTGTTATTCACAAAGGTCAGACATTGGTTAATACAGTAGAATTGTTAAGCTATACATATATTTTCTAATTTGTTTCTCATATATATTGCTTTTGCACTTATGATATGTTTTGGAGCAATAGTAAAAAAGGATGTTAAATAATTTTTTGGGCCATTGTTAATTGGATATGAAGCAAATGTTTATGCAAGCACTGTGATAAAATAAATTTCCTGGGATCAAAAATTAAGTTGGTATATTCTCCTTGACTGATTCATAGTATTTATAGGAATCAAAAAATAATGAGTTATTTTCTCTTATATTTACCCAATGGAAGATTTACAAGTAGTTCATCTCTTCTTTTCTGTAATTGTAATATGTTTTCTAAAACTGCAGATTTGACTAACATTTTAACTTGATAAAATTTTGTAACCTCTACATTGTTTAATTTTAATTTTCTTTAATAAAAGGAGACATGTATTTATAGGTCTGGAAGACAAAGCTTCAGCTTGTGAGATGTTGGTTTGTTATGCCCGAGAGTTAAAGGAAGGCTTTGCAGACTATGCAGAAGAAGTGGTGAAGCTGATGGTTCCTATGCTCAAATTTTATTTTCATGATGGTGTAAGAACAGCTGCTGCAGAGAGTTTACCATACCTGCTTGATTGTGCCAAAATCAAAGGTTTGTCGTTCTTCTTATTATGTTACTTTGATTGTGCCAAAATCAAAGGTTTGTCCTTCCTCTTATTATGTTACCAATTTGTATGTGGATAGCAGGAATAATTAGGAAGTTTAATCATGTTTGTTTTTAAAGAAAGTTGGGTCTGTTATCCGTATGGCAATTGGATTTTCAGAGAAGTCACGTAAAGAATATAGTTTCTTACCTTCTTTATTTGTGCTTGTTGGTGTTAACATCATACTGACTAAAATACATTTATGTTTAATATTTACATGTATTTGGCTTACTTAGTTAATTTTATCCAGTGTTTTAGGGTAGCTTTGAAGTAGTTATTATTTCTGTCAGCTATAGCTATATAAATTTATAAACTCACTTCTACATCTCATACCTGTTGGGTTGTGTCTTTGTACATGTGTGGCTTCAGGAAAAAGCATGACATTGAAGATATCTCTTTTCTTATGGACCTGTTCAGTGAAATACATATCTCAGAAATTTGCCTGTTGAAATATGTATTGTATTTGTACATGATTATTACACTTTACTGATACTGCTACTAGAAGCCATCTTATGTTAATTTTAATTTTGTGGTTTTGGACTCAGTATGACTCTACTTATAGCTAAGACAAAAATAGCTGGTTTTATGCATCAGCAAGACTAATGTTTTTACACTTCATTTGTAGTAAATCTGAGGTTGTTATTTATTCATTTAATTTTCCATTGTATGTGTGTAGGTCCACAGTATCTGCAAGGGATGTGGAGCTTCATCTGTCCTGAACTACTCAAAGCCATTGATACAGAGCCTGAGAATGAAGTATTGGCTGAACACATGCACTCCTTAGCTATGGTAACTGTGGATTCTTCAACATTTACAAGAGACTATTATATTTTAATGGACTTCAAATGGGAGACTAATATTAAAGTGGGTCTTAAAGAAATAGGATATATGAATGCACTTGACCAGTCCATCTTGTCCTTTTGCGTTTTGATATCAGCTGAAGAGTACAAATTTTGAATCTCCTGATTATGTGCATGAATATATACGTATTTGGGCTGCCTTTGATTTTATATTCTTCAGTACTTCAATGCATAGTGTCTGCTACTGTTTTGAAAAGTAGATTTTAGGAACACTTGTGATGAGTTTCATATTTTGATTATTGTTGATAAAAAAAATTATGTGATAGGCATGACATGAAGATCTGGTGGGTTAAGACTGGCCACGGAAGGCAAGGCGAGACCACCATGGTACTTTTGCAAGAAAACCCCGGTGGGGTCACGACGGTCAAAGCTGACCATACAGAGAGAAAAAAAGCATGAAGCATGTGGGAGAGATGAGAACTTTACACAAAATGTTGATTTTAAAACTTTATTATAATGTGAAGGTGGATCTTACAGTCATAGGGTGCAAGGATTTGAATTGAATTTATAAGATTAAGGATGAAGCCCAGTGGTGGACTGTTGTGAATATAATAATGAATTTTCAGTTGCCTTAAATGACAGGCAATTTCTTGATTACCTGAGCTACAGTTAGCTTCTCAAAGAGGAATGCTCCATATAGTTGATAAGGCTTTCAAGCTTGCAATTTTCAAATTGCTGATAAACTCTACAAGCTGTTGATGATATTTCATTTATTGGAATCAGGTCACTATTCTGTGTGTTCATGTTTATTCCAGTGCATAGAGACACTGGGAAATGGGTCCCTGACAGAAGAAGCAATGGCTGAACTGATACGTATCTTGGACAAGATTATGAAGGACCACTTCAGTAAAGCAGCAGCACGTCAAGAAAAACGAAAGGATGAGGATTATGATGAGGTATATATTTTGGTGTTGAAGGTTGTAAAATAGGCCTGCCAAACAATGGGGTTCAAAGGGCAGCATGTTAGAAGTAAAAAATTAAAATTTCTGCTGTTGTGTCTGACATGTAGTTTGAGACTGATGATTCAGCTGAGCTTCTCAGTGTTCATACAGAATTGTACAGGGGTATCCAAAAGCACAGTCCATTGGTAGCATCACTGGTGGTAGTCAACCAGTTAACAGTTTTGCATGCCAGTGTATCATATGAGGAGACCAGTCAAGTAATGTTTTCAAAATTGGAATAAAATTAAATGGTACAGTTATGTGAGGTGAACTAGACTGATTTTAGGTATTCAATAGAATCTCAGTGATGAACGTCATTGCCAAAGCTGGGAATGAAACTTGGTTCGTGATAAATTGAAACGGAGGCTGCAGTCTAATGTAGCTTTGTTATAGGTGGAGGATGTGATGGTAATTGAAAGCCAGTCTGCTGTTGCTGGAATATTCTGGACATAGCTGATTGCACATAAATATTGTGTTGACAGGTTGTAGAAGAGCAGCTTGAGGATGAAGACAATGAAGATGTTTATATCTTCAGCAAAGTTGCAGACGTAATTCATTCACTCTTTTTGACGTACAAACTCAACTTTTATCCATACTTCGACCAGATAGTTGGCCACTTTGTTAAATGCTTGGTGAGTTTGTTAAAGACTGCAAAGTTATTTGCAATGTCCATGTTAAATCTTATTTGTGCAGACGCTATTTTCATTTAAACAAGTTGGCATGTCACACAAATTATGTGTACTTTGTTGTCCAGTATAATATATGTATGTATGATTTTTAATTTTTACCACAACTCTTTATTTACAAAAAATACTGCTACAATCTCAACACAGAAACAAAACTTAATGTTTGAAGCTGAAGCTCATTCAATATTTAAAAATTAAGTTCCTGCTACAAAGCAAAGATTTAATAATGTTTCAGGCACCAGAAATGCCATGGCCCGACCATCAGTGGGCTCTTTGCATCTTTGATGACACAATAGAATATGGTGGACCAGCCTGTGCCAAGTACCAAGAGTATTTTCTTCGGCCCTTGTTGAACTATGTGTCTGACAAGGCAGCAGAAGTTAGGCAGGCGGCTGTGTATGGTTGGGGTGTTCTTGGACAGTTTGGTGGTGATGCTTTTGCTGGTTGGTATCATGATCTTTATAATCTGGTTAGTGCATGTTCAGGAATAAACCACATTGGGGTCATGCGGCAACTCTGTAATGTACACACATACAGAAAATAGCTAGGGATATGAGATGGCTAATGAATATTTGTGAAAAGAACTTATTTCTGATCATTCAATGAAGGTATTTATTACACTGAGATTCTTAAGAAATTAAGTACCTGATTTTTCTGTATGGTTTGGACTGGAAAGGGAAATTTCTATGCAAATAGATTTTTTTGTTTGTTTCATCTTTCTCTTTATTTGGTTTTTTATGAACATTCAACGTAACACTTTCTTTTCTGATTTTATGATGTTTTGAAAGACTGCTTGATAGGCTCAGGATTTGTGGTTAGCAGAAAGATAATTCTGGAGTACAACATGCAGCTGAACAAAAACTTTGGAAAATGTGTGTATTATTCAGGTAAACATTCAGAATAATGTGTTGTAATTGTAACATACTGATGGTTCTCTCTTTAAGGTGCTTGTAGTGAGGCCATACCACGCCTGGTGGAGATAATAACAGACCCAGAGTCTCGTTCCCCAGAGAAAATCAATCCAACTGAGAATGCTATCTCGGCAATTACTAAAATACTGAAATATAACAACTCGGCACTCAATGTTAATGACATCTTACCACACTGGTGAGTGAATTAAATATGATATATTGTTAAGTTTTATGATATTGTGATGGGACACTTTACACACGTATTTGTCTCTCCTTATGACATGGGTGACAGACACATAACATATTCTTTTAAACAAATTTGTATGATCTGAAATTTATCTTTTGAGCCAACTTATGGTAACTATGATACTGGACTTTTGTTGAGTCTGTTGATTTTTGATTCAGTTATTTGAAAGCATTGACTAATGGAGTGTTATTGTTACTCAGAAAGAATTAAATTCATTTACATGATGGTGTACTATATTAGTCTTAACTGAATATTATTTGAAGATGGCTGTCTTCTGGAGTCTGGTAGTAGTTTACCAATGTTTCACTCCATCATCAGGGCGATAATGGTGGCAGCAAGGACACAACAACCCAGAAAACAGCCGTCTTCATACTCACCACTGTGAAAACCTCATATCCTACTGAATATTATTTTCTTGTCATAATCGCAGAAATTTTGAAGAATAAGAAATACATTTTAGGAGCTAACTGATGAAGAATCTTGTCTAGCAGTGAAATTGAGCATGCCGAACACACTGTAAATGTGGGTGGTAACAGTAATACACATGAAAGCTGAAATAAAATTTGGTCAAGAACACACTCTTGGTGATCTTGTGATGTTCATCCTTTCATTGGAAGCTGTAGTGGGTTGAAGATACAAGAAGCACCCCATGTGAACAAAGATTCTATATGAGTTATCGTCTTTCTCCTCTTTATGGAAGTGATCCAGCTGTTGGTGACAGAGACTAATAAACATTACATCCAATATTTAGACACATTTGACAATGGTGATGGTGCTCATAATTGAAGTAACTGTGAAAGATATGTCATCATTCTGGCTGTAATTATACAAATGGGACATGACATCAGGGGCACATAGAGAGATTATTAGTTCTACGGTAACACAACTGATATTTTCATGTGCTGTGGTTTATACATTTCTGTTACAATGTGAATCAACAAGACAACATTCAATTATGACTGTGCTAAATTGACTGTCCATCTGAACAGTTAACTGTAGACTAAATTACTGTGCTCTTCAAAGAGAGTTGTTGTAAAGCTCTGATATAACTATTTATAACTGTGACATGGCTGGCTGCAGTTATGACATAAACATATACTTGAGAAAGGGCAAGCAAAATTCAGAACAGACCATCACAGCTGTATATGCAACTATGAAGAGTCCCACTAGTGAGGACATTGGAATGGGTTGGCTGTAAACTTTACATTGACAGTTACTTCTCTTCTTCAGATCTACTTAATGACTTGCATACTAAGGACAAAATCATAAACGAATGCTAGAGAGCTCTTACAGTAGGGCACTAAAATTTGAATTGGGTGACATACATGCTACAGACAGACATACTTCAACAGCAGTGATTGGAGGAACAACTGACACATTCATATTAACTCTTTAATCAGTGCTATATGCTTGTTTGTGACTCATTGTTTTTGTTACTAGGTTGTCATGGTTGCCTGTGTGGGAAGATGATGATGAATCTCCACATGTGTATGGCTACCTATGTGATTTGATTGAGACAAATCATCCACTAATCCTAGGTCCAAATCATGTCAACTTACCCAAATTAATAGCCATAATTGCTGAAGCATTTGCAAGAGATGCTATTGATGTGGAACATGAAGTTGCAAAGAGAATGGTTGGATTGGTGAGACAGATCCAGGTACTGTAAGAACTGAATCTCTTCAGAAGCTTTAATTATATACAGTATAAAAATAGTTACATATTCTACAGATTTGTGGTCATTGAGTGGGTAGGAAGTGTTTTGTTTTTTAGCAGGAAAATATGTTATGAAATCCTTACATACAGTGTTAACATTGCCCATTTCTTCCATTTTTCTGCAGTTCTGATATGGTTTGAGTAGTGGTGACACATGCAAGTTGTATTTGGAAGGTACCCAGTTTGAAACTTGGCCAAGGTACTGTTTATTATGAGTGGGAATTATTTTGTCAGTCATTCCCGTCAGTGTTTAGCAACTTGAAGCAGGCCATGACCACTTTCTTACTATTCCTTTTCTTCTTCTTTTGTAATCAATCCTAGGATTGGTTGGCAGCAGCTCTTTTTTTAGCTGCTGATACTTGGGAAATCCTGAGGATCTTTAATGCGGTGGATTCCCCTTGCCTTCTGCAGCCTATGCCATTGACCCATCCGGTTCATCCGCCTTTAGGGGTGATTTCTCACCCCAAGGGCATGAGGGTGCCCTGAACCACCACCCGCTCATCCACCCTCCAAAGAGGCTGTTGGCACTTGGTAGATGGGGACCACTTATACCGGTGGTCACTCCGTCTGTGGACGCAGTTTAATGTCATACACGGGACTATTCCTTTAGCATTAGTCATTCAACTAATTTTGTTAAATTGTTCAGTGTTAGTAACATTTTAGTGGTTAGTCATTAAACAACCCACATATAAATGTATTTATCCTTTTTTTATCCAAGTTTATCATTGAGTAAAACTGTGAGGTATGCAATAGTACTTGTTCCATGTTAGACTCTGGTGTAAGGTTGCAAGTTTATTTTGTTGTATTCTTTGTTTATACAGGGAAACAGTGAAGTGTTTCAAGCATGTATCACACAGCTGACAAGTGAACAACAGCAAGCACTGCATGAAGTTCTCAGTGTTAATTGACCTTCAAGCAGATACCAAAACCTATACTAAAAACTACAAGTGATAAACTGTTTAATAAAATTGCAGGTGCAGTGACATTGCACCAAGAATGGGATCCTTCTTGTTAATCAGTTATGTATTTATGTTGCCTGTTAAATACTACTGCAGTAGAGTAAAATTCAGAGTAAATTATTGATTGGACAAATTTGTCATCTACATATTTGTTAAATTTAATGTGTGACAGTACTACCACAGAAATGTGTTAAAGAAATTGTGACACACAGGTAAGCAACACTACTTTCTTTGTTGTATTTATGTATACATAATGACAGTTCGATGAAACAAGTTTTATGAGAAATTGTTTTGGGTATATTCATTTTAAACCCAGAAGACATTTTTATTTTCAGTTTTGTATAATTGTAGAGTTTATATCTACCTTATTATTTTCATTTTCATACTGTTTTGCTATTATTTTTGGCTCTGTTTATTTTGAATTTTACCATTATAACTGGTGAGATATGTCTACGATAGTTTACAATTTCTGTATAAAGTATGCATCATTTGTAAACAGATCTGTGATAGCAATTTTATCTGCAAAAAAAATCACCCTTCTTTTGCTTTATATACTTATTATATATAAAAACAAGGTAGATACGACTTGGTGAGTGCATAATGTTGGAATTGGAGGTGAAGACAATTTCAACATATAGGAGCTCATTTATATTCTGCTTAATTGTACTTTCCTCCCCTTGTTTTGCATATAATAAACATTACACGAAAGCATATATTTTTATATTCACAAGCATCTTGATGTTTGCCTGTGCTGTTATGTGTGATATGGGAAAATGTAAGACGTTGCGTACATAATACAATTTATGTATGTTACGAAATGTATTGTATACTTTTAGAGTTCTGAACACTGGGCTTTTCATTTTGTTGATGTGTTTGGATATACTTAGAAAGTAACTGCAGTGTTTAAGAATTTCTTAATGTACAGTCATTTTTATGATTGTCATCAGACTGAAATATAATGTATTTTTTATTAGTAAAGAATTTAAATCCTTTTCATCGGTTTTCTGTTGGTTAATGAAGATATGCAAAAGTTTTTATTTTAAAGAACACTTCTGGTCAGAATAAGATGTTTACTTTCAAGTACGTTGTGTTCTTGCCAGATTAGGCTTTGGAAATACAACAGGCAAAACGTAACAGACTGGATGGTACTGTTGTTAATTATTTTTATTAATGACATCTTTTTATAAATAAAATAAACACAGTAGAATCTCTGTATAATAAAATTAAAACTTCATTTAAACTCTTCATAAATAAAATAAACACAATAGAACCTTTATTCAACAAAATTAAAACTTCATTGAACCCATATTTTTAGAGGTTAATCTCCATCTAGTGTCAAAATTAGGAATGTATGGGGATATACCTCTTGTCCATATGTTTACATGGTATGGTGCTTAACTAAGCACGAGGGACAACTTTACCATTTATACATTATTTTATTAAAATCAGAATCTTACACTTTCACCAAGAGTGTATTGGTAACTACTATATAAATGACTTTTAAGTAGGAGGTAATTTTTTTAAATGTTATTCTTTTTTCCTTAATGTAGAATATTCATGCCTATGACGATCATTTTAGAAATCTCGTGTGTGTTGTCAGTACTTAAGTATGGACATAAAAAATTAATATAAGTGACATGTTACCTCATACTTTCCCTTTTCTTGTTGTGATCACTGCTAAAGTGAACATACTTCTCCCATCAGTGATACAGATGAATTGCAGCTGTGGTTGTAGGCAGAGTGTAATTATGCAGTGATGGCATATTCAGATTTGAATTTGTTTCCCCAAAGTGACTTATACACTCAAGCAAACAAAAATAATCACATTGGGACATGCGGAAATAAAAGTATTAGTGTCTCTGAACCCCATGCCCATGGCAGGCTTTGCACAGCATAGTGGTGATGGAGTGCACTGTTTATGTGAGGTACTGCATGTCATAAGTTTAGTATTATTTAAAAAAATATTTGTTATTTTACTAAGGAAAGTTGCTACATTCCAGCAGTTCTGTGTGCACCCTTCAGCATACATGTTTTTCTATTGTGTTGTAAGTTTACCATGGCATTTGTCCATCTCTTTGCTTTATTTAGTTTAAGGGCTTCTACAATGATTAAATAGTAACGTGATAATGAGGAAGAAATTAATTTGCATGTTTTTATGTACAGTTGATGGAATAAATTTATGATTTGTAATTTTCAATTTATGCTTCATTTCAAATTTGGTGGGGTAACGTTGGTAGAATGGACAGGGAAATAGTCTAGTTATCGACATCGAACCTCGATTTATATCGCGCAGACATCGATTGTCGATTTTGTATATTATTAGTAAACCGTGATTGTTACCAATTTGTTGGTGTATGTTGCCTGTTATGGAAGTTGTGTATTGCGTTAGGAACTAGAGCTAAACGGAAAGTTTCTTTTGTGACATATTTGACAGTGTAGACTTTTAAAATATTGAAGATTAGGATTGTCCAGTCTCCGGTGAAATTTTAAAATGGGAGCTGCTTTAGGTCTTTGTTCTGCTGCGCAGGTAATTCTCTCTGAAATAATTATAAGAATATTGATATACGTATTACACTTTCAGTAAGGTAGTTTTAATGGGTTACCCATGAAACTGCGAAAATTTGCATTGGTTATTGGCTTCTAACAAGTCTGAACGTAAGCGCATGTACAATGTTTCGTTTCTTTAAAATGCAATACAATCGTTCTGTACCCATTTCCATGGCCTAGAAGTTTATCTCATTAAAGTCATGTCAAAGTTGGTGGAGTACGTTTAGTTGGAACCTCGTTAGCTAATTATGATAATAGTGGTAGGAGTACTTGCAAACAGCATTATTTGGTATTTTAATCGATGTAAAGTTTAGTTCCTGGACCTACTTTTGACATATGCTAAGAGTGAAGTTATGAGAACCCTGCAACTTGAAGGAAGAACCAACATAATTTGTAAATTGTATAGATTTTATTTCAGACCCTATTAACCCACATGTATATGAATTCACAGTGGCACAGGTTTCTTTTAATAAAAACACATTAAGACTAGTTATCATGGTGTTTCAGAATTGAATTTGAGAACATCAGATCTATAGAAAGTTACCTGATGAACTCCCAACTGAACTGTACCTTAACATGGAAAATGCATATCTTGACATATGATTTGAAGCTTTCGCAGTGACTAAATATAATGAATTTTTCTCAGGCTACCAGCCATTAACCGTTTTTACACAGCTGGTAGCCCAAGAAGAATTCATTACGCATATCTTGATCTTTCACAAATGCATCCTTTATTTTATGGAGTGACCAGGTATAATGTTAAGCAAATACTGGTATAGTGTTTCATGTTACATTGAATGACATCTTGCTGTGTTTTCAGACAAGATGAAACCATCCTAATTCTTTTAGTTTGTAATATTTGTATCAGGAATGACATGTATCCATGTTCAGAAACAAACTTCCACTTTTCTGTTTGTAGTGAAAGGCAGCCATCTATATTCAAATTACTGTGGAAACCTATATACCACTTTTCTTTCACTGTATGCAATGAATATTGTTAAATATTTATTTTTACATAAATATGTCTATACGGAAGGGTCATTTGGTAAAACAGCGTTAGGAAAATGTCTAAGATTCATACCAACAGTGTGTAAATATGGACTGACAATGGTCAGCTTTTATATGAACTCCTGCATGCATAACAATGCTTTACTCCTTTACCTAAGAAACTAATAGTTATGTCATCTGTTTATTCGGCATTGTTGTGTTTCATTACTGCCGTCAACAATCTGCCTTCTTTATTGCGGAAAGAGCTGAGCTGTGAATCGCTTGTAGAAGAAGGGCGTCGTAGGGTAGATACTATTGTGATGTTAAAAACGTTTTAGAATATCACAGTGGCTGATGAGGCGAGTGCTAAATGCTTAACGTGATGAACAATAATAATAAATAGGAATCCCTTACTTGGTACATATTTACGTCAGATTCTCCGGAACCGTGTTTCCACTGTCAATTTTTTCATTAAGTGATGTGCATGAACTTTTTTAAATTTTACCATGTCATTGTTCAGTTTTATGATAACACTAGCAATGTGACTAATTATCCCACACTATTTCATATTTCCACCACACTTAAATTTACATTTTACATTTATGACAAATTTCCAATAGAGTTTGTTGAAGTATTCAAAAGAAAACTATCATGAACATTTTGTGTTTTATTGAACAAGAACGTGAAAATAGGCCTCACTTCACATTTAGAATAGGAAATGCATGGTGAAACTGCCATCAATATGTTTAAAAACAAGGCACTTATTATACACCTTAACATAATATAGACATAAAACATAATATCATAACATAGATATTTATTTATTTATTTATGTATTCATTTATTAGAGTGAGCCAGGATAACTCAGTCAGTATAGTGACTAGCTACGGGCTGGATGACCGGGGTTCGATCCCCGACGGGGGCAGAGGATTTTTCCTCTAGCCTCTGCTTCCAGACCGGGTCTGGGGCTCACCCAGCCTCCTCTACAATGGGTACCGGGGTCCTTTCCCTGCGGTAAAGCCGGCCAGTTTGTGATGCTGACCACTCACCCCCATCTAGTGCTGAGGTCAAGAAAAAGAGGAGCTATACTTCCACTCACCCCAAGCGCCTGTATGGCACGTAGCGGGACAAACTTTACTTATTCATTTATTAGAGTGCTTGGCAACAGCTAAAAGAGGCCAATAACAGCCAAGCACTAACAATAAATATAACAATACAAAAAACATAACAACAACAATAATAAAAGGACGATATTTTGCACATCATTTTAACCTCCATGTTTATTTTTAGGATAATTTAATTCAGATGGATAACAGTAAAATATTGTGTGAGACTTGAATTAACTTTAGCATAATTGTTTTTATTACAGCTGGCATGTTGCTGTGGGAGTGCTGCTTGTAGTCTGTGCTGCTCAGCATGCCCGTCATGTCGTAATTCAACATCAACACGCATAATGTATGCTGTGATGTTGCTACTGGGTACTATTGCAGCATGCATTACTTTGTCTCCAGGTCTCCAAGATGCTTTAAAGAAAGTAAGTTATGCTGATAACAGTGAGGGCTCCTTCCTAGATTATATGCCTTTCAAGTACAACCTCTTTGCTCCATTATTGAGCTATAACATTTTGGTATATGTAGAACAAATTTGGTAATTGCTTTTGTTAGTGGGCTATGCTGATTTTTCAGTTTATGTACATTTATTTGAAATAATTTTATGTTCATTTATTTGTAAAATTAACACTTTTTTCATACGAATTATGAGTGAGAATATATTCCATGTCATGTGTTGTTCCCAGCCCTGCTAACCATTCTTCTCACCTTTCACGCAGTTAGTTACTGGCATTGTATGAGTTTATATCAATATATCTTGCCTCCCACATGACTCAGTTTTCAGTGTGTGTGTCTGCATGCACATACTATGAAGTTAGTATCTTCACTGTTATTTATATAATGTGTACTGTTGGAAACTTCTGTGCATAATTATTGTCTCTGATTTCAAGGAAATTCATTTTCACTTATGAATGTTCTCATAAATAACCCCCAGGGAATTTTTCCATTTCATAAAATGAGGTGTTAGTGTATGCCATTGTCCTGATTGGCTATAACTAAAGTTGTGTAAGTTAATGAATTTCTTTTTTAGGTACCATTTTGTAGCTCAAATGATTCAAGTGCATTGTCCTTTAAGAATCTTTACCCAACATGGCAATGTGAATCTGCTGTGGGATATCTGGCAGTGTATCGTCTATGCTTCGCCCTTTCTGCTTTCTTCTTTCTCATGGCACTCATTATGATTGGTGTCAAGACATCAAAGGATCCTCGTGCTGGCATTCAGAATGGGTTTGTACTCAACATCTTTGGTCTGCATAGTTACCCATAATATTAAAAATTGTGGTCTATTCAGTATTGAATTAAAAACACAGTTTTTTTATATCACTGTTCTTCTGGGTTATGACACCATGTAGATTCACAGGTAAATACATACACTATGGAGAAATGTCCTCACTCCATCTTAATAGCTGAACATGGCATTTTCTTATTTACCTAAGAGGCTAGACAGTGTCACAACCCAGAAGACCAGAACCTCAAATCTCACACAGTTCTAGGTTATAGTTTTTTATATTTTATAGTTAATCTTATAGGAAGTTTGATGTAAATTTGAATATGAATTTGATCTTGTTCCATGAAACTTGTATGTTGTTCCTTATTGGCAAATTAATAATTCCATATTGCAGTTTTTGGGCTATTAAGTACCTACTGGTGATTGGTGGAATGGTTGGTGCATTCTTTATCCCTGAGGGTTCATTTGGAACAACTTGGATGTATTTTGGCATGATTGGTGGTTTCCTGTTTATCATCATTCAGCTAATTCTCATCATTGATTTTGCACACTCCTGGGCCGAGAGCTGGGTTGGTAACTATGAGGAAACAGAATCTAAAACTTGGTAAGACTGTATTTACGGCTGATTTTATACTATGTGTTATTACTTAATACAGCACAATATTGTGGACTAAGTTTAAAATGCCCTTATGAATGATTAAAATTAAATGCTCTTGACAAATACAATTTTTTATAGGATGTCAGTTTTATTTTTATGATCAGATCTGATCCTGTATCAGTCTTAGCTCACAGGAGGTTTGTTCTTCACATACTGATTCCCAAGAAGTTTATAGCAGTGTGTTCAGTTGTAACTTCATCTATTAGTCTTAATATTAAGAATTATTTCATTTTACCCATAATTAATTTATTGACAAATTAGTATGTGACTTAATATTTGATATGTACCATACTCATTTCTTTACTTTATCTCTATTTCTTTGTTTTTTTGTGTTACAGGTATGCAGCATTGCTTATTTTCACATTACTAAACTATGCACTAGCCATTACTGGTATAGTGTTGCTGTTTGTCTTCTTCACTCTGGTAAGGCATTTTGCAGCAGTATATGGAAATCTGTTAACTTTTGGTGAACAGACCTTGAAAGAATTTGGAATTTTTTAGTCTTTAATGTCATTAACCAATATAGTTCTCCTATAATTTGGAGAACATGGAATATGTGAGCACGCATAAAGCACATTTTTATAAATAGTGTATGAATGCTTAAAGAAGACATTGTGTTTCTTTCTCTGAAACCTTCAAATATATTTAATTACAATTATGTTACATCAGAAGTGAATGGGTGTAGTTAGTTTTGGTTGAATTGGTCCCAATATAATACCTGTTTTACATGAATCTTAGCTCAGATATACAATTGAGCAATCATAGAATTATATATGTGCAGCCAGTATTGCAACATTTATCTTATGTTTCATCTCTGCTGCACAATTATAAGAGATTTATTCCCTGATCATAGGGGCTGCCAGTCAAACTATAGAGTTAACAGTTTTGGAATTCTATTAAAACGTGTGTCTCTCAAATGCAAAGATGTAAATGATTTCATTTAAGTAAATTATCCCTATGAAAATTCAGAACTTGACATAGTAAATACAGTCTAAAGTAATTGTTGCTTACATCAGTTAGATTAGATTACTATTCAATGCTATCTTCCTCTCTCTCTTTTTTTTCTTCTTTTTTTTCCTCTCCCACATTGTTCTGATTATTACATTATGTTTCTTATTGAACATTAGGTTTAATTTTGTCTTGATGATTATTATGAAATGGCCAAGATGACTGTTTGTATCAGTAAGAAATAAGAATATAATTTGATTTTGTTATGATCCTTTTGTATTACAGCCTGATGATTGTGCACTAAACAAATTCTTCATCTCATTCAACCTAATTTTATGTGTAATTGTGAGTGTATTGTCCATCCTGCCCAGTGTGCAAGAGACGCAACCGCGCTCAGGCTTATTGCAGTCATCTGTCGTGACTCTGTATGTCATGTATCTCACATGGTCATCTGTTTCCAGCCAGCCATGTAAGTGTGCTTAATTTCATTTGTTTCTTCACTGTTTGTCCTTGAATTTGTTTCCATGGAGCAGACTCCTTGTTGAAGGTTGTAATGGCTCATGTAGTCAAGAAATTACCTGCCTTATATAGAATCTGAATATTTATTATCATGTTCACAAGAGTCTGCCACTATCCTGACCCAGATGAATTTTTTCACAGCCTCTCACCCTATTTGTTTAAGATCTGTTTTAATATTATCCTTCTGTCTTAGCCTGGATTTTCCAAGTGTTCTCTTTCCTTTAGATTTTTCAGTTACTGAGCATTGTTATGCATGCTGCATATCAAGCCCATCTTATACTGTTAACACCCTGTTTTGACACCTAAGCATTGAACATTGTGGTTGAGTAGTTTTTACTTCTGCTTCTTGTTCAGGATGTCCTGGGTTTATATCCCAGCCCAGAGACTGGTTATCCTGAGCAAGGTTTTCTCAGCCTCTCCAGGCAGATAGTACCTCAGAGAAGGCCATGGCCATTTCCCTCTGTATCCTTTTCAATCTATTTTTCACTGATCATCTTTTCATTGAACACTATAGTTTAAGCTACTGACTACGTTGTTAAATAAACCATAAACAAATAAGTAAAATTTGTAAATTTGTACCCCCAAAAATTAACCATGTCCTAGAATTACACTCAAGAAGGATGTATGAAACTACATTTAACAATTTGTACCTTGAGCTTATGTTCATACCTTACTAGTATGTAGACAGAAGAAAAAAAGAATACATTTTCATGAAATTTGTGTATGATGAAACAATAGAAAGCTGGGATATTACTTACTCTCAACATGTATCCCCTTTGTATGTACCATATTAACAGAGGCATGTCTAGGTAAAAATGTGATTCTCTGGCCAGAGTTCAAATACTGAGAATCAGTTGAAGAAATTGTTTTAGTGGTTAGAGTAATGTTTCTATTTGAGTATGATGTTCCTCAGATAAACCATGCAATCATGGATTCCTGGGTGTCACTGGGATGAAGTCAGAGAGCACTTTCGACAGTGAGAGTATTGTGGGTCTTGTCATCTGGATGTGTTGTGTTCTGTATTCTTCATTGCGTACGGCATCTAGTTCATCTAAAATCACCATGTCAGAGCATGTTCTTGTCAAGGATAATGGAGCTGGTATGTATAACACATATTACTGATATTATTTTATTGTTTTGAGCTGCTATCTGTCTCAAAAACATTTTATCATCATAGTAAACAGCATATATTGCAGAATTACAAAATGTGTGTTGCAGTCAGTAGTAACTTCTAATTGAAAACAGTTGCAAATTTTCTTACTATCTTTTTATTGCCTTCTGTTTTGTGTTCTTTTCTCCCAACATCTTGATTACTTTTGGTCAGTTTCAGAACCTACATAACACATGTGAGCTTGTAGCCTGCCTGTTCCTGTAGCTTTTCATCTTTCAGGCTTATCTAACTATCAATTTTTGTTTCTTTCTCCAGTACGCGGCCAAGGAAATCTGTCGTTGGTCAGTAATGAAGGTAGGAGTCATCTTTCAGACATCCTATCCTCTGCATACCTGTTTGTGATGATTCATTGTTCAGTAAATTAGTCATCAGTTTATAAAAGTGTTTTGTGTTTTATGCTGCGTTAGTAGTACTGAGAGAATTTATAGCACATACCAAGGTTGTTTAGTTTATTCTTGTTAAGGTTTCCAATTTGTTTCTTTCTCGGTATCTTTGCGTTGTCAGAGAGTGATGAAATTCCAGCTTTGCAGTGATGGTATTCCTTCCATGTTCCCTTCTTTCTGCAGCATGTCACAACCAACATGTATTATGCTTCCATAGACAGTCATTTATTTCATAATAGGCACATGTCAATATTGTAAGAAACAAGCACTGTAATGAATAGGGTGGGTTTAAAATATTTTTTATGAATCCCCAACATAGTGTAGTACATTAATAATTGTTGCACAAATCTTCTGTTTCCTTCACATCCTGTTCTTTGAATTAGTCATTTTAAGACTATTCTCTCTTCCTTGATATGATATGAAGGAATGCCATTATGATTCTTTTCATTGTGATTTTCAGTTCACAGTTGCTAATGGCTGGACCTGCAGGTTACAAGCCGCATGTTTTGAGTTTAGTGCATTGGCTTGGCTTTCTCACATTAAACTCTGTCCTTTGTTCTGTATGTAGAAAGATTGCTAGGGTGAGTGAGTGATGTGAGACATGTTTCAGTAAATTTATTCTTTCCTAGTTACTCTAAGTCTGATAGTTTTATTGGTTTTTAGATTAGTAGTGATTGCTACATTAATATGTGAGGTGGCAAACACCTAGTATCAGTTAATATTTACTTAAAAAATTGTGTACAGGGCTCTTCTTTCAAAAGTATTCAAGTCGTAATAGGCTTATTTTCATGATAAATGAATTGGTACAATGTGGCTGTGACATGAATAATATGAGGGGTAAAATTAGCAGTTTATAACATTACACATTGAGAAGCTTCACAAGATATACAGTTCACCTAGTATTCATAGGACTGTAAAATTTAGAGATGTCTGAAATGGGCTGGGAGTGTTATTGACATGAATTTGGTGGTGAATCTCTTTCAAATGGCCACTTCTAAGGAGGAGATAGGAGGATAGCATTATGATAGATGGGTCTTAGTGGATGCAGCATAAGATATGGTGAGTTTTGGTATTAGTGGTTTTGAACCTTTCAGTTGTGGTATATCAGTGTGTTAATTACTTAGTTGCTTGTATCATACCTCTCTCTAACTCTGATATTACTCATATGTTCAGGTGGTGATGGAGGAGAGAGTGGACACTCATCAGATAATACCAAAGTGTGGGACAATGAGGAGGATACAGTAGCATATTCCTGGTCTTTCTTCCATGTCATGTTTGGTCTAGCCACTCTTTATGTCATGATGACTTTGACCAATTGGTACTCGTAAGTATCTAACTGTGCTTGCTCTTTTCCTAGCCTGGACACATTCCCACAGATTATTTTCATACATTGAGTTGTAGAATTTCAAGTTTTGAATCTTCCTTCCTTCAATGAAAATAGAACATTTGAGGTCTGTAGGCCTTTGATATGCTAGGTTTCTTGCCAAATGACGAGAAGTAACATTTTTTACATTTATTTAATTTTAATAGATGTATGTAATTTTGGTCTACATCACATACATTTAATTAGTTTGATCTTCATCACACAGTTCAAAATTTTAGAATTTTCACAGATTGTTTTCGATAAATAGAGTCTTTTGTTGCCATGACTACATCTGATACTGATGGCCAATACAATAGCATACCACTACCATTAAACTCTGTAAATGGTTAAAATGGGTATGACAGACCCATACAATGGGAATTAAAACCCCTATTCTAGGTCAAACCCAAGAGAATACCATAAATATATGATTCTTGTCTTGTACAGTGAAACCTCAATGCATCACTTTTGGCGGGGGTGGGAAATAAAAACGATGAATAAGGGAAAACGATAGTTGCTGGAAAGCATTAAAATGTTTAAAAAAAACCTAAATGTTTCTCTTTCAAACTTACTTCTTTTTACCAAAAAGGTCTTTAATGCACAACTGGTTTGTCGAAACTTTACGTTTTAGGCCAAACAGAGCTCTTTCCACGTTCAAAATGTTTTCCTCGTCACGTTCACTAATATTATGCGCATAAAAGAACGACTTCACTTTTGCCAATGCTGCATGTTCTTCGGCAAAGCTCAGCACAGCTTCAGGCTCGCAATAACAGGAAGAATGGAAATACTATTACTGCCGAACTCGACGAAACGTAGCTGTAGAAGACACTGAACCACTGGAAATGAGATGAACCAGAAAAATGAAAAGTGTCGCCCGCCTTTCCTTTGTACTTATAATAAAAGCATTTGTGAAGAAATTCACACTGCACATGTCATCTGGCATCGCTGGAACAAAATATGAGTGCACCCTAATTAAACTCATAAAATTTCTGACAATGAGCACCGCCATTCACTCCAAATATCACCCCTCATTCCAAAAGAATCTGTGCTGGTTGGGCGACAGGTTACCACTGCTGTGTATTCCAAAAACATTTTGCTTCTTTCGGTATTAATTTATCTCAAAACCCAGCATTTTAAATTCTAAAAACATCGCGTAAATTTCGTTATAATTTCTCAGAAACGATCATTGAGGGAAAATTGTGGGCCAGGACTAAGATTTTTGAACGATTGATGCGATAAAACGATACTTCGAGGAACGTTAGAAGCGGGAAAATGTAACATTATTTTATATGGGATGTATCCGGGACCGAACAAAACGGACGATGCATCAGGGAAAACGATAGTTCGGGGAACAATGGATAGAGGTTTCACTGTATATGCATGCTCATGTGATGTAAGTCATTGCTTTTGTTGTTGTAGGCCAAACTCAACACTGGAAACACTGAATGCAAATGAAGCATCCATGTGGGTTAAGATTATTTCAAGCTGGCTGTGTCTGGCATTATATGCATGGACATTGGTAGCCCCAATCTTGTTGCCAAGCCGGGAGTTCAACTGAAGAGCTAGTATTCTGTGCATACTTAAAATATTTTGATTTATGTAGAAATACATATACAACATTTTGTTCCAATGCAAATATGTGATGTTATACAATGCAGTTCTTGAAATGGGTTCAGGTAAGCATAGAAAGCTGGAGAACTGCATTAATGAAATTGTAACAATTTATAATGTTATGTGTATGTATTTTAATAGAGAGTATAACTTGCTTATAGAATTCCTTTTGTTAATTCTCCTCATTGCTTTACTGGAAGGCATAAGGTCTATAGAAACAGAAATTATAGTTCAGATATCGAAATCTGATAACATTTAACTGTGGATAGTGATATTATTCTTGTCATGTTTGTGGGATCATGTATGTTATTCTGTGACTATTTTCAGCATAAACTTGAAGTTTCTGTGAATATTATATCTAATCTGTCATCCATTATGTATGTTGCTTGTTTCTAGATATAAATAGTGATGCATATAATAGAAATTAATATACAGGGTAAGTCGAAAGTAGCTGCACAACTTTGGAGAACTGTAACCGTGCTCTTTCCTCGCCACTATAAGTCTCAATTGTGTTTTCCACAATTCATAAGCGCTGTCAGTGACAACGTGAAGAACTACAACAAACAAAACTTGAGGTTACACTCTACAGATATCTGTTGATATCAGCACATTTTGGCTGCAGGTAACACGGTTACAGTTCTCCAAAGTTGTGCAGCTACTTTTGACTTATCCTGTATAATTAAACACTTAGATTGACATTTTACTGCATTTCCCAGTTCAAACATTGAATGAAGTCATATTTAAGGTATGTACTATAAATTAAATAGTGTGGCAGGAAAATATATAATGCTTAGTTTTTAAAATAGTAATATAAGAAAAATGCAGTTATCTGTGTATTATTTTTCTTTATAAAATCTCATAATGTGGCTTCGGTGTTCATCTGTTACTTCCATTTTCTGAAGTTTAAGATTAATTTTTTAATAAATGTCATTATCCTGAGGATTTTCTATAAATGAAATGTTTCCAATTAAGTAGTAAAAGCCTGACAGAAACATAATGCAATCATAATTAATAACATGTAACATTTACTGAAATACTATGTAAGCACTAGATAATGTAGGTGTACCTCTTGGAGAATGGATTCTATGGGGGTTGTGTAATATGAGTAGTTTCACAGCATTCTGTGAGGACAGGTTTAGGAACTGTAAGATATACCCACCACATGTGTATGAGGTTTTGTCAGGAGTTGATTAAAACCTTGATACAGGTTAAATAATTTAATAATGTAAACACTTTTTGAAACAACATTTACACATTGAAACACAGTAGAAAGTGGTGGTAGTTGTTTGCATTGTATTCTGTTCTGAAAAACTTTGTAAATAAAGCAGTTTGCATACCGAGTCTGGAATTTGAAATCCAGTTGTCCTAAGAATATCGTAATGCTTTCCCAGAAGGAACAATATTTCATATATATAATTGCTGTGATCACAATATTGTACAATTATGTCACATTCGCAGAACAAATAGCTGTGTATGATGTTGAATGCAATGGTGGACTCAAAAGACATGCATTTCTGTATTTTTGAGTAACTTGACAATTTAGTAGAATGGGATCTTCTGGCATTAAATGAGATTGCAGTTGTCATGTCTCATTTGACATTTACATACATTCTTTATGAAGCCATTATCTTTACAAGTGCCATTTCTAGATGACAATCCTTCATAAGTGTGTATGTATTACTTTTGTGTCAGTTAAAACAATATTGATTATCTAAATTTTTCCTGTTTCCAGAACTGAGTTGGTTAAATTTTCTGTGTGATTTGATAATATTTTATTATAAAATGGGCCATATATATGTTTTGGTCTGCTTCTTTTACAGGGAAGCAGTTACAGCATATGGTTTCAACAGATTGAGCTTTTCTTTGTTTCATACATAGGTCATGGGAGTTTACACATGTGATTATTTTTCTTGGTATTTACTTGTTTATTTCTAAATTTCACAAACAAGACTTATCTTACCCTTAGGTTAATTGTGTAATGCTGTTTATTATTTGAATAAGGGGGAATTTAGGTGGGGGGTTGCAGCTATATCTAGTTTTGAAGTGACGTGTTCTGTGAGGGTGTAATTGAACACTAGACTTGAGTCTTACGTTTGGCCAATTACTTCCAACATAATTAGCACTCTTGTATTATAATATTCAGATCTTGGTATGAATATGTACTGGAAGGGGTATCTGTTTTGCCTCAAGTATACCAAGCTAGTACTCCAAATAATTTACGCCTGCTGCAACTACAATTTTTCTAACACATATTCTATTGTTACAAATTCATATTTAGGCATGCTTGCAAGGGAATGGCTCTGACTGGTTCTATTTCCATCTGAACATAAAAGATTTTGCTGTCGTTGGATTGTTACAGATGATCATACTTTGTGCAGCCAATCAACACAAAAACCACATATATGATTTTTTGCAGCAGAGGTGAAAGCAATGTACATCTCTTTACACATTTAAAGAAGTTCTTTAACTTCTGATAAAAATTTTGTAATTAATCCTCATTGAAACCTGTGAAGCAGATTAAATTTTGACCAATGCAGGTCTATTAGCATTTTCAATTAAGTATAGATGTACTGCTGCATTCTTTCCAATGCCAGAACTTTGATATCACAGTCTATACAGGTGTATAATAATTGAGGACTTACAGTTTGTAAATTGTTCTGTTAAGAAAGTACATTGTTATTCACTGGACCTGATCCTGAGATCAATGAATTTAGTCCACATCCTCATACCCTCTTTTTCTGGAGTCTTGGCTTTCCACCTACACCTAGGCCTCGGTGAGTCGTGTGTGTGGAAAAGTAATATTTTCTAGGGTTTTTATATATATTTATTGCACTGTAACTTACGTTCGTTTTTATTTGGGGCAGGTATGTACAGAAAGAGTGCAGTTAAATGTCCTTGGGCTTATCATCTGTGAATCCAATAAGAACAGTGGCGACATCAGTTTTGTGGCCATCGAGACGTTAAGTTGTTCTGTGACTTGTTACAATTTCTTTACCAAGAGTTATGAAATCATGCTACGTCTAATTATTGTTGTTTTGTGTAGGTGCGAAACATGGTCTCTCACTCTAAACGTGGCGACTGACTTGTAACATTTGCCTGTAATGTAACGTTACAAATCGAGCATTACACAAGTGAAGACAGGGAACGGAGCCGCTCACGCTCGCTGGCGCTCCATCGTGTCGGTTTTTTCGCGATCCCTTTGAGTGTTACATTACAAGTCAGTCGAGCGGCGTCGTAACGAGCATTCACGAGTTCTTTAAATAACAGTAGCGTATTAAATGGAACAAAGATAACACAACCTCCATGTCCGACATATTGAATGAAATGAATGGAGCACAGTCGAGCCGAGCGTTCAAAACGAGCATTCGATGCGCCTCACCAGTTGTGGTGTAATGTAACATGCTCGCCGCGAATGTTACATTACGAGTAAATGTTACAAGTTAGTCGCCACCTTAAGGGAAGAACATAGATTGCAGGTGTTTGAGAATAGGGTGTTGAGGAGGATATTTGGGCCTAGGAGAGAAGACGATGGAGTCTGGAGAAAACTACATAATGACGAACTTAAAAATTTATAGTCCTCTCATGGATGGGACAAGAAGTGTGCACCTGGTATTGGTTGGGAAGCCTAACGAGAAGAGACCTAGACGTAAATGGGAGGATAATGTCAGGCGGGATATATGGGATGTAGGAGTTGAAAGGTACTGAATTTTGTTGGCTCACGACAGGGTCCTGTGGAGGGCTTTGGTTAATTCGGTGATGAACTTTCGGGTTCGGTAAGCCATCTTGTTCGCTACGTCAGGACTATAGTGCAGTAGTGGAAGGCATGTTTCCTTGCGCAGTTGTAGGGCGAGGTCGTGTGGTAGGTCATGTGTAGACATGGAGACAAGGGCAACGAAGTTGTAGGTGTTGCAATCTGAAGTGAACTTGCGGATGCGAAAGGAAAGGTAACGTTTTTTACATTAGAAAGAGTAGATGTTGATATTTTTGTGAAAATAATTAATAGCCAACAGACGCCAGAAACCAAATCTAATTTCTTGATTAAATTCACACTTTATAAAATTTTTGTTTCATGGCTCTCTTTCCGGGTAACAGACTTATGTTGGTGTTCGAGCAATATAGCATCAAGCTAAAGCGAATACATATTTGGCCTGTGGCGGAAAGGTTGGTTTCTGAATAATCCCCTTGTTTTTAGGAATACGTTTACGATGTTGTGACAATGCAACCCAGTCTTAAACTGACACGTAACAACTTTTTGAAAATTCTTGTCTAGTCTGTGATTATGCCAACAAGAACTTGGATTTTTGTTAAGTAAAAGACTTGTTTCTAACATGAGACAAATATTTTACTTTTGCTGTAAACACTGTAACAATCAAAAATGCTGTAAAGATTACAAAACCAAAGATGGCTGTTTTCTCGTATGTTGCATTTTTTAGTCAGAAATCAACCAAATCGCCCTGAAGATGGAAGCAATAAGAACCTCTGAAATGTTGGTCAGTTTCTGCAACATGCTAGAGGACAGTCATATGTGTTGCTGTGAGAACCTTCAGTCTTACATGTGCGAAACCAGTTGCAGTAGCTTTCCGCTTGTTTTCAGTACTGTTTCGGAGGTGGAGTGGACATTGGTGCTGTGGATCCAGAAGAATAGTCACTTTGACAAGGAAAAACAATTCAATCTGTTTAAAGGAGGGACTAGAATAAAGCAGGTGAATGTAAGTTTTGGCTCGTTATTAGCGCTGTAGTGTGGCTTTTCAGAATGTTGGAAGACTTCACATTCACTCCATTCAAAATATACAGTATGTGTCATGGTAGTTTTTGTACTTTGGTCTGGGATTGCTATCATTCCCTAATAATACTGGTTGAACACAACCAAGTACATTTTTGAAGGAAAAGAGTTTAGTGGTATCTTACATTACTACCAAACAAACCCATGCTGCATTTTAAATTATGATTAACTACTCTCTATGGAGCACATAGGTTCATGAGCATATCCCTTAACTTTATGTAAGCATAAATTGAGTTATGTAGTTTCTGTGGGGCCATTGGAAATTTTTAAGTGAGCTATCTCTCTGTGATCCTTGAGCTTCAAGTGGTGTGCAGTACTGCAATTAAAAAATGAAACAAAAAATAATAGAATGGCATAAGGAAGAAATTTAAAAATTACGTGTTTAATGATAGATAATCCTCCAAATGTTCGCAAGAAAACTGTTTAATCTCTCAGTAGTACATGGTTTGCAAGGTCTTTTACTTACCTAAGCAGTCTGTGGCTGTAGAATTTGAGAACCACTGTTGCACTGCTTTCTCAAATAATCAAGACTGGTATTGGTACTTGAAAAGTAATGCTTGGTCTGCCAAAGAAGAGCTAAACTATGTTTCAAAAAAATAAGAAATTAATCTGTCCCTTCAGTTGAACACCTTTGTCAGCAGGTCACCCAGAATTTGTTTGTTGAATTCAGTTTCAAACTGTGATGTCAGCATCATAATTACTTTTCACTGTTGATGGCTGGCTGTTTCCCTTCTTTCATTCTGACAAAGTTATGAATAATACAAACACGCTTTATTACGTTATCTACAGTTTGAAGTCTGCAGTTGACTTGTGTCCAGAACTATAAATTTTGAACAAAACAAACAAATGCACATTCCACGCTCTTTCAAGTCCTAGACAGTTTGCAATTAAAAATGTGGCTCTCCGTTGTCAGTGTTCTTTTAGAAATAAGTCACATTATCTGCCTCGACAAAGGAAATGCCTCATCTGTCACGAAATGGAATGGGAAGTTTGGTTCGTCTTCTGATGTTGGTAATGGATGGGGAGGCAGCAACTGACATTTATTCTGATGATTAAGACACCTATGGTACCCAAGATTCATCTCTACAATCACAAAAATCTATCACAGAGCTTCTGAACCCATGTAAGGTAGTTTCTTTAAAATTTACCATCAAAAATTTGTTAAATATGTCTTGCCTGCTGCAAACATCATATGAATCTCCTCTCCTACCTTTTAATAAATTAACAACACTGTTTAATTCAGACAAAATGTTCATTCTTACCCATGATACCTAAACATGGCTAAACTTCATGTTCTTTGGCAAATCCACCAACCAAGATACAAATCTTCAAACTTTTGGAACACGTGATTCATAATGCAGTACATTTGGCACCAAAATAATTATGTTTATAAACTGTAACCTTGCCACAGATAACACAGTTTATGCAATGTTTGTATTAAATACGTCATACTTATATCTGCTCATGTTCAACTGAAATGGATTCCAAAACTCACTAAATCATATTTCTAAATCTTAAAAGGAACGCCTAAAACTGTTTTCAAATTCAGTACTGTAAAAATTTATGGTAAGACATAATCAGTTGCTGAAAATGTATTCATCAAACTATTTAATCTATTTTGTGTGTTTGTAAAAGAGATTTAGTAACATTTTTCAAAGCGTGCCAAGACTTCGCTTCTGGAAGATATCAGGTATTCCCATCGAACTTGTTTAGTATCTGAGTATCATGATGCAAACTGCAGTGTGTGTGAGAAGGTATCATAAATTAAGTTGCAGTCACAGTAGGTTGTGCTGCCAGATTGTGGTATCACACCTGAGGTAGAGAAGCAGGTAATGGGGGAGCTGGTATTGCAACAGCAACTCTCATGAATGTCTTTTTCATGATTTTGGTTGTATTAAAGTAAGCTGATTTTGAAATTAATCTTTATTTATATGTAAATACTTGTACAAATCTTGTGGTACATTGGTCTTAAGTTCTATTTATGAATTAGCTACTGACTACTTTTTCCTGCCGGCCTTCTCTTTACCATTTCCTTTTTAATTTTTCTATTTTTAAATGTTCACTCAGAGCAACTCAACTGGTACAGGTAAATTGGTATCAACATTATTCTCACAAGAACATTCTTCCTATTATTTCAAGCCATGTGAAACTATAAAAGCGGGTTGCACTACTTATATCGCCACCTGGTATCAATGTGCACCACTGCAGCCAACGTTTTCAAACATCATGTTACACTGGTGTCAGTGTGCATGTACCCCTTTAGGCTTTCAAAAATGTACAGCAATCACATATTTACCCTGAAGATGGCAATGGCAGTGTTTGGTAAAATACTGGATCATTTTCAACATTTGATGTGGCTCATCCACAAAAGCCAAAGTCATACATATTCCATTTTTATTTTCTGAACAGATGGGCAAATAAAATAATGTATGTTGTTCTGTATTTGTATGCATTGACATGTTATATAACAAGGTTTAATTGAAGCAACTTTATTTGCCCTTTTGTAAATTGATTTTTCTTATATACTTACTTATATTAGATTTTTGGAATTAACCATTGAGAGGTGGATTACTTTCAGTTGTCTGCAAATCATGACCTTGAAAGTTCGGTCTGAGACTTCATTAAATGGCATCACCAAAGACATACATCCCCATCTTGGTAGTATTAATGGCAAGCACAGGAAAATGAGTACAGGATCATGGGATTCAGATCTTCCTTTTCCTAGTAAGTACTATTTTTTTTATTGAAAGCTGAAATGAAACTTGAATCTGTCTTGAGAATTATTAACTTAGAAACTGATTATCAGTTAAAATAAAATTCTTTATTCAGGAAACTGTTTTATGTTGGTGGGCAGTGAATTGTAAATTGCATATAATGGTCACCGTTGAGAGCCTTGTTTTAAGCAAAAAATTATATGATAAATTATTTTTTTCCACAGGAGTACCTACTTCTTTATCAGTCATACTGGTTGGTGCTGCAGCAGTTCTGTGCTATGTAAATTCTCTGGCTGGAGGATTTGTTTTTGATGACTCAGAGGCCATTATAAATAATGAAGATTTGAAACCTGAAACACCCATCTTCAATCTCTTGTACAATGATTTCTGGGGTACAAGGCTTACCCACAATGCAAGCCACAAGTCATATCGTCCCCTCACTGTTCTTTCTTTTAGGTTAGTATTGTACTTCAAAATTACAGATGTAAAGGAACAATAAGCTTAAACAACTTAATTCACTGTCATGTTACAGCAGTATTGTCTTTTTGTAACAGTAGTTTTATTTGTGAAGTTCATTAAGTAATTTTCCGTATAATAGTAGAATTGTTCAACTTCTTATTTATCCATCTTGAGTCAGGTGTCTTTTGTACCTCTAGTGAGTTACTGATATTTCCAAAGAACTTTCCTTGTTGAAAGTATTGTACTATCCAATTTTGTAGTAGTATTTTTTAATGTAAAAGCTTGGACAGCATGCATGGGTAACTGGAAATTCTGCATATTTTTAATGCATTCATTCATCCTTTGAAATATATTTTCAGTTTGCTTAAAAGTTGCATAAGTTGTTACTACCCTTTTTATGTAAATTACATTTTGTTCATTATAGGAGTCCTCATGGGTTTTGTATCTTCATGGTATTAAAAGTATACAAGACCTGACTTTCCTATTTATTATTAAATATTCAGTTGTGAATTTTAACCCTCAGGCTGCCCAAATTCTTTTGTGTATACTTTGTTCTTCTGAACTGTATTAAATTTAGTATGGCTTCACTTATGTTCCACCTTCTGGTTCTTCCCAGTCATAATTTTGTCAACTGCAAGTTTAATAAACATGTCCTACAGTTGGTGAAGGACTACAGTTTTTTATCAGGCATTGTATAATTACACATTTGAAATGCCTCTTGCATCTTCTTGAATCTGATCTTGTAAAACTTGTCTCTCCCTTTTGTGAACCAGCTCTTAAACTTAAAGAAGTACAAAACTGTTATAATATGTCAACTTTATTTTTTGTAAGAATGTAGTATATTGCCTGCAGATGGAACTATTGGCTTGCTGGTGGTCTTCATCCTCGAGGATTTCATCTGATAAATGTGGCACTTCATGGAACAGTGTCCATACTTTCACTTGCAATATTCAATCTTCTGCTGGGTGGTTCTTGCCACCGAGCAGCTTTGCTGGCGTCAATGCTGTTTGCAGTTCATCCCATTCACGCTGAAGCTGTGAGCAGACTTTACTTTTATGAAATGGTGGTCTTCAGATTTTACCAGATGGAAGTATTATAGATATGTACAATCTATGAACTTGTGCTGTTTGTTGTTTTTAGAGCTTTTGAAATGTTTGCAATCTGCACATGTTTATATGTCCACTGATTTGACTTTATATGTTATCATGTTAGTAATATACCTTCTAGTAGTCTTTATGGTATTAAGTATTTTGGAATCCAGAAATGTGCTATATCTGTGGCGTGTACTTGTTCAACTGTCTTACTACCACATGCTGATGTGGTCAGTGAGCCTTCCTTGTGTGGAGATTTACAGAACCAAAGAAAGTAGCAGGACTGTTTACAGTTGAAAATCATTTTGACTCATAGATGGCTAATAATGCTATCTATCAATTTAAAGTTGATAGTCTCTGCTTTTTAATAGCAGGTATTATTCCATGTTATGGTGGCAGAGGGAAAAGGAATAACATGCAAAATTTGACTGATGGTTAGTAGCTGTAAATTTAGTGGTGTGCTATGATAATATTTCTTGTATAGAAGAATGTTTCTCTGCTGGTTATCTACAGAAATGGATCCAAAATTTTGCTGAGAGAATACTTCCATGGTTGAAGTGTAGATGAGAGATAATATTAAAATTGATCTTAGTTGAAGTAGATGTAAACATATGAACTGGAGTAAGTGTTTCAAGGCAAGATCCAATGATGGGCTTTGCTTGTTAATTTTTATTCAAGTTTCATAAGGGGGGGAAATTTCTTGATCATCTTAATAATTGTAATTTGTTTAACCATGGAGTGAATGAGAGTTATTTCCCCTCTATTTCCAGGTGGCTGGCGTGGTTGGTCGAGCAGACTTACTTTGTGCGTTGTTTTATTTCCTGGCTTTCATTACATACTGCAGTTCATTGCATGTTAAGCGGGCGGCAAACCAAGCAGCCATGTTGTTGCTAAGCATGGTTTTCTGTGCCTTGGCCATGTTTTGTAAGGAACAAGGTATCACTGTTATTGTAAGTAAATGAACACTTGATTCACAAAAACTGCAAATAATTCCATAATCCATTCTAGTCTGTTGAGTAACTTGGTAAACCTGCTACATATTATTTTAGTGCTTAACTTTCATGAGGAAATGGTTGCTGTAAGTCTCTCCTTTTTTATTACTTTTATGCCAACTGATGAAGGTAGTTTTGACTATTAAGTAGTTTTTTATATTTTGACATGAAGACAGACATCCTGTCTCAAAAATGTTGTAAATTTTGGACATAAAATTTTTATTGAAATGACTGACAATGGATAATGTATAAATAAAGTATTATTACTAATATGCCATTGTCATGAAACTTTGGAATTGTGTGTGCTTTAAAGTGGTTAGGTCATAGGTAGTGTATGTGTCTGAAAATGGTGAATATCAAGTCAGTGGACATGGAGTAAAACACAATTTGTTGATAACTACTAAATAGTTATGAAACTTTATCATGGTATAAAAATGATGATGAAAGTGTATAATACAAGGTTATCTAATAAGGGAGAATTAAAGACATGGGTACTACTCAATCATGTTAAACTATAGAGATGGCTGTCTTCTGGGATATTGTGCTGTGTAGTCTGGTAGAAGTTTACCAACGTTTCATAGGTCCTTGCTGCCTCCATCATCAGGGCAATTCAAATCCTGCTTGTTGAACTGTGAAATATGATTTATATTATCACCACCATCAACTCTTAACTCTTAACTATGCACATTGCAGTGTGCCATACACGAAGATGATATGATTAATGTAGTGTTGTTATTTTTCTGATTAATGAAGTATATCAGATAACCGCCACGGTGGTCTAGTGGTCAGAATGCTGGGTTCGATTCCCGGTGGTGCCCGGATTTATAACTGTGTTGGGCAAGGCTGTGGTCCAGGTATCACAGAGTTTTCCTTCGGGGTTTCTCCAAGGCATCACAACAATTACTCCATTTTCTTCTTCATTTACACGCAGAAGAAGGCAATGGCAAACCACTTCTGGACCATTTGCCTAGGAAACATATGAACAGGTCCCTATCAGAGGGATCTTGTTCATAATGTCACCAGGGGTCGGCTTTGACCCGACGGTAAAAAAAACAGTGTTAGATACATATTTCATGAATGTTTTATCAATGTCTGTCCTTTATTTTATCTTTAATCTCATGATCAACCTGAGAAAGAGCTTGGGTAATGTCATTGGAGTGCCACTGACAGCCACACATTCATTTACTTTATTTTTTTTCTATACATGGAAAATGGCTCTTTTTCAGGGTGTGTGTAGTGTATATGATGTGATTGTGAGTGGCAAGCAACATCCTATAAGAATTACAAATCTGCTATGGAAGTCTTTCATTCAGAATAAAAGTGGAGCCCTTGGATGTTCTGGACAGTGTTTTGTTACACCTTCCAGCTATGATACTCCAGCTGTCCAGAATAATTCCTGCAAGGAATATAATAGACAAAAACATGATAGTAAGTACTTTGAGTAAGCATTTTTATAGTAAAGACCAGATATAGATGGAGCACTAATTTGAAATATTGGGAATTGCAGCACACTTTAAAAATTTTGTTCGCTCTTTAATGATCCTCATTTTTTCTACCTTTCTTGTTCTGTGTTGTGTTTGATTACAATGCAGACTCATTATAACATACTTTTTTGCAGCATTTATCATGGAGTGCCTTAAAATTAAATATATATTACAGTAACATGATATACTTAATCCCAATTATGTAATGGTATTCTAATATGACAAAATATCTGTCTGCACCGCAGCATGGTAAAAATTAATTTCTTGCTAATTATTTTTGTGCAGAACAATTTACAAAGAGGAAAAAGAGAAAGTGCAGTTATCCTGGTTATAATAGTGTGTGATTAATAACTAGTATATGCATATAATATTGGCCAAAGAACATGCATTGAGAGAGACCTGATCAGTTTCATTTGTATTCTGCTAGGTGTGAACAGTGAGTATGACTTCAGACCCCTCCTGCTTCGACATGTGGTGCTTCTCCTATCGGGCTTGTCACTACTTACTGTACGGTGGCAAGTAATGGCTTCAGCTACACCTACATTCCAGTGGGTTGATAATCCTGCGTCATTTGCAGATAGCATTCTCACCAGGGTAATGAAGTAAATGGAACTGTTTATAAACATCCACCACTGTTGTAGCTTTCTGTTTCTAACGTTCTCCATAAATGTCTAATTAACTTCTGGTCATTATTTCTGTTTTTATTTATGTAATTGTCGTTATGCTTTGTTTTGTTTAGTACTAGACAGTAATTTCCTGTGCTGTTAATGAAAGCAGTGAAACTTCTTTATGCTGTGATAAATTAAAATTAAAATTCAGAATTGTAAATACATATATAAAATTGTAAATTTACCATTACTAAATGCATTAAAGCCAACAATTGTAGTAATCATAGGAAGAGACAGTTACTCAAACACTCCCCTTGTTGTAGCAGTAGACAGAAGCTACATCATCAAGATATAGCAAATTGATATTCACATCAGATAACAATTATACTACACCTCCAGTGATCTGTGCAGTACAAATCACAAAAAGTACTGTGATAATACCATACATGCTGGAAGTATCAGGAAAAATTTGCAGAAATGTGCAAAGATTTGGTGCACAAGTAGCATTCATACAGGGCTAGTCTAAATGATGTTCCCAATTTGAAACACATGCTACTTACGTTTAATGAAATTCAGATGCACAAAATTGATACTGATGGAAAGAGAAATTCTCCAAGTTTTGTTTCAGTACATCACAGGTGTTCAATGTGAGCCCCCTTGGTAACTCGGCACACATCCAGCCTGTAGTCGAGTTCCTCCCAGACACGTTGCAGCATATCATGATCGATTGTTGCAATGGCTGCTGTGATACGCGCTCCAAGCAAGGTCTGTGGTAAGGGTGGCACAAATACTATATCTTTGACGAACCCCCACAGAAAAATATCACAGGGCGTCAGGTCCGGTGAACGTGGAAATCCAGGACACAAAAGGCTCCCCTGTCTTCGATGGCAGCCATTTTCTCTCATATTGCCCCTGGCGGCGAACAGTGTTACTATGCAGCCATGAAGTATACCAACATAAACTTGGAGAGTTTCTCTTTCCATTGATACCAATTTTGTGCATCTTAATTTCATTAAATGTGAGTAGCGTGTGTTTTAATTTGGGAACACCATTTAGACTAGCCCTGTATAATGAGTGATGTTGCACAACATACAAAGATGAATCCAAAGAATTAGGTACAGAAATCAGAGATTTCTATATATACACTGTCTTATGCTGCTGCAGAAGGAAATATAGTGGGAGACACATGAAGGCCACCTCATAACCATATCAGTTGATACAAACACAACACAAAAATGGGAGATACATCCAAATGTGAAACAGCTGAATACTCTGGGAATGAGGTCTATCAGATAAAATGGTGTTAGGCAGAAATCAGCCACATAGAAGGAAACAGGATTAATAGGAAAGTAAAGTAGTCTATAAATTAGAATAACAGGAGAGACAGCCAAGCCCAGATATGGCTATCCCTGGTGCAAGATAAAAAGTGACTGTGGAGTAACATAAGTAGATTTACAGTAACAAGCATTTCTGGGCCATCTTTTTAAACTAGTGTTCATTGTATTAGCCTAGTATTCAAAACATCTAAGGTTCAGTTCTATCAAATATACTCCATACAGTGAAAATTGTGCAGCATAATTTGTTGTAATGAACTGTAAATGTACTTATTTGCCTGCTTAACCAATTGGTGGTAGGTGCTGGGTATATCTCAAGTATACTGTATTAGTGTAGTATTTTTACAGGTGGTGTTTTTTAGTTCAGAAATCCATCTGGTTCAGAATACGTTGACTGATATTACATCTCTTATGTTTCAGGTGCTCACCTACAATTATATTTATGTATTAAATGGCTGGCTTCTTCTGTGTCCAGAGTGGTTGTGTTTTGATTGGTCTATGGGCTGTATTCCACTTGTGGAATCACTAGAGCCTCGTGTTCTTTCAATCGGACTATTCTGGTTGATTTTCATTCTGTTACTGTGGAGGTCTCTCAGTACTCCAAGCAGAAAAGATCAAAGGTGTGAACAGTCACTTTGGCAACTTTCAGGTCATAATTTTTGAATCATTACAGATCATGTGTGATGTAGTTGCAGCATGAGATAAGAGACCTAAAAAGAAATATTTCAACATAGGACCTCTAGTTGGTATTTTGCATGGGAGTACAGATTCCTAAACGAGTACTGCGTGTTCACTAAGTACTTTATGCTACATGGTCATCCTTGGAAATATTGCATAGGTACTTGTGTTTAAACAGTTAATTTCCTGCTTTCAAGGAACCCAGAAGTTCATTGCCATGTTCTCAAAAGCATGTCATGGGACCCTATACTAAACCACTTACATCTGATCGTCACCTTTGCAGTATATTTCCCAGAAGTCAATTTTGATTTTATCTTCTCATCAGTTCATAGCAAACCTGTTATTTTGGCTCTTCACTTAGTATTATCAGAATAATTATATGAAGAAAGATGAGGTTGGGGGAGAGATGTTGCATGCACATTGCAAATTGCATATAAAATTTCAGATTCTATAACAGAGAATTTGTTAACAGCTAAAAGGAGGCATTCCGTGGAGTTTGTCAGTTGTAATAGTGCCAGATATGGCTGCAGATTTTAACATAATTTTACTTCCATAGCCATGCGGTTATAGATCATGTACACTTTTTGTTTATGATGTAAACTGTAGTAAAAAAATACATTTTTTATTTAATATGATATGGGCTTCTGCAGTTTATTTTTTCTTCAAGTTATAACTGATGGTTTTCTTTCCAGGAGTTTGATTATGTGTTTAGCTGCAATGGTGATTCCATTCCTCCCAGCCACAAATATCTTCTTTCGTGTGGGTTTTGTAATAGCAGAGCGTGTGTTGTACCTGCCATCTGTTGGCTTTTGCCTGCTTATTATTGTGGGACTTCGACAACTTGCTATGTTTCATAGAGCTCGTTGGGTGAGTCATTGATTAATTTCTTATCATCTTAGTGTTTTGTTTCTGTGATCATATTTTTACACAGGATGATTTTCATAATTAGTATCAATTCTGTTTGTTATTTTAAGAATGTTAGTTCAAAGTAATGTTATGAAAGATTCACCCTCAGTGGACTAGTGGTTAGCGTGCTCGCCATTGGACCTAAGGTTCATAGGTTAAAACCTGGCTGAGGTCGATGGATTTTTAAGGGTGATAAAAATCCATAGCATAACTTCCTTCGGAGGCGAAGTAAAGTCAGCGATCCCATGTCATAGATTTACAGCACCCAAAAGAACCTTACGAGCATGAACAAGATGTTTCATAAGCAAAATTCAGTGGCCATTTCTCACCCAAGTCTCTCCTGATTCACTACTAGATGGTTCTAGCAGTTAAATAAGGATTGAGTAGAAATTGTGCAAAGGCAATGGGCTGGTCACTCGCTACTCAAATGCACACTTTTAAGACTAGGAAACCCCCGAAAAGGAGGCGGCGAAGACCCACAACTGGGTTGTAGAGCCAAGGAAGAAGAAGAATGATGTTAAGAAAGAATAGTGATAGAGCATATAAATAATAACCCACAATCTTTTGGTTGATAATACACAAAAGTTTATACTTTTAATAGATGTCAGGAGAACACAGAGTAAATCAGTAACATTTCTTTATTTATATTCAAATACTTACATGTAGGGAGAAGGAAAACATAGGACAGGCTATTATTAGCCATAGTAAGCATTAGTATGATAAGGATTAATTAAGCACAGTAACAAGTAAACTTTGCCTTTATCCACACTAATACATGAACTCCTTAGTGGTACTGACAAAAGTCATTCAGTCTAGTGAAGTATTCTGCATTGTTCATCATCATAAAATTACCATTTATAACATTCTGGAGTGTAAAAAGGAATCTTATATTTACATAAATATAATAATAAAAGGTGAGGAAATAGTAGTAGAAGGGTCTGACATGAGGCATGCCTTGTGTGAGTAGGTAATCTAAACATGAAATTACTGTTATTGTCAGTTAACACATGAAGCTTACAATAAAGTGTTTGTTGCCATTTACAGGCTATTCAAGTGGGTTACATATATGTGGTATTTGTGCTGGGCATCCGAGCTGTTAGCCGCAGTGCTGAGTGGCAAACTGAAGCATTGCTGTTCCGTTCAGGTCTTTCAGTCTGCCCGTTGAATGCCAAGGTGCACTATAATATTGCCAAGAATGCGGGAGATGCGGGCAACAGAACACTTGCTGTCCTTGAATACAGGGAAGCACTGAGGTCAGTCACCTGGTCCTTGTTATGCTGTGATTTCATCATTTTAACTAATGAGCCTGCACAGGTTGGAAACGTGAATACTGTGAGTACATTTATGTTAGTGATGGTGACAAGACAAACATTTCTGGGACAAACATATGAATCCATCTTTTCTTTGAATTCTTTTTACTTGCTTAGAGAAGATAAAGATACTGCAGATTAACCAATTACACAATTTTCAGTACACATGTTTTCCAAACATATTTGTTACTTTGTGTACCATATTGTTCTTGTTCACATATGCATAATTTTTCTTTTATGCATTTTGTTTACCTGAAGACAAGATCTGTCAATGCTGTATAGTCTGAGCTGTCGATAATATCATTACATAAGCCCCAAATAAATAATTTCATACTAAACTTTATATGCTCATCTATGTCTGTTCATCAGTTGTCACCATCAGACAAGAAAGTTGATCTATAACACGAGTTCATCTGTCACAAAATGTTAGTGCTAGGATTCCTCCACCTTAGTAGTGGGCAGATGAAAGCAAAGAAGAAAAAGAACAGTGGTGAGACTCGATTTTGAGACATTGGAAATATGAATAAGAACCAAAAATATTTTGTCACCCATAAATTATGAAAATACTAAATTGAGAATAATTTCTTTAAAATTAGAAGCAGCAGTGCATCCTTTCACATTCATTATCCTGGATCCCTCCTAGTCCCCTGTCTAACAGCTAATGGAAGTTATTTTTGTAGCAGTAAAGCAGCTGGAGTTCAAAGCTTATCACTTTTCTCCATTCAGTGCCAAAGTAATAAGACACAAGCATTGCCTGCGTATTTCTGTGACTTCTTAGCATGGTACTTGCACATAGGGGCACCTTCACAATTTTAGAGCTGTTCTACAAACTGCTACGCACACTTTGGGAGTCATTTGTGTACATACATGGTATCTGCTCTGAGAACTTCAGTGAATTATGAATTCTGTTACCCATATTTACCTTTCAGGTTGCATTCTGAATATGATCAAGCAATGAACAACTTGGCCAACATTCTGAAAGATGAAGGAAAATTGCATGAAGCAGAAAAACTTCTGCGAAAAGCTGTGCAGCTCAGGTAAAGTTAGGAATTAGACATATGTTGCTGTTTTCTGCAATGCAGAATCTTGGTTACATAAAGCTTTGCGTAAAATTTGACTTGTGTAGTGACAAATTAAATTTAAATCCTAATTTTTGTCACTGAAACTAAATATATTTTTTTTATTGTACCAGTTTTCAAAAGAAAGTTACTCATATAAACATATTTAAATGTTTAGCTTGATTTTCCAAGAGTAATTACGTATGAGATTGTTATGAGTATCTCTATTATGACTTCTTTTTTTGGGCCTCAGTAGATTGCCACCACAGAATTTCCATCTTGCTGTACTCTGAGTAGAAAGGAGGGCATTCAGGAGTAGGTGAACGAAGTGTCATATACAGTTAACAAAGTTATAATTTAGTATATTGTAAAGTTTTTATTTTAACTAAATCATTGTCATATCCATCATTCTGTCTTCGTACTTTCATTGATTTTTAACTAACTTGGTCTGGAACTGTATATAATCTTAAACCTTACCATTCTATTGCCTCTTTAGCCATAAATACAAATAAATCCTTTTCATTGACCCAAAATATATTTAATACTTGAGCCATACTAGAAACCACATTGCTGAGTCTAGCATCGTAGGCTTGGCATAACTTGCGCAACAGTTAAGACTCAAAATTTCAGATAAGCATCAGACTCCATGAAAATTTTCTGTAAATCTAGTATTAAAGGTGACAAAAACAGTTTCATAGTAGCGGAAGGCCAGTTTGTATTTTGCAACATATTTCAGTATTTTTGTTGATGGGGTATTGCGGTAAGTTTGGATTCATGTTTCCAGGCCTGACTTTGCAGCAGCATGGATGAATCTGGGTATAGTGTTGGCAAGTCTGAAGCATCACAGTGAAGCAGAAGCAAGTTATTTCACTGCTCTCTCATATCGTAAGAAGTACCCAGACTGTTACTACAATCTAGGAAATCTTGTAAGTATAAAATTCTTTATTTGCAGTAAGCCTTTAAATTATAAGCTGACTGAGTAGGTTAGCATAGGGATAATATATCTGACCAGGTTAAACAATGTGAAATAAACAAAAGGTAACGAAACCTTTTAACTGATATTGACATTTGTGTTTGTTGTGACAGTACTTGGATCAGCAGCGGTACAGTGATGCATACAGAGCATGGAGAAATGCCACTGCCTTGAAACCGACTCTTACTGTTGCCTGGAGCAACATGATAATCATGCTTGACAGTATAGGTATGGTTGCATATTTGATTGCTTACTTTATAGTTCATAAAAAGTGAGAAACTGTGATTAATATTTTTAACTTCTTCTATATCTCTCCAGTCCGTATTCAGTCCATGGCCTCCTCAATTATCCTCTTCCATTCAGTCCTATTGTTAGGTCCATTCTGTCTGAGACTTTGGTTGAGGTTTCGAAACATCTTCCTTTTTACGGTGCAAGGTTGGTAGCCTTGCGACCAACCCGCAACCTGGAGGACCAGCGTACCTGTCTTAGTCTGACCTCTCCTGCTCGGCCAATCTGGCTAGGGAGGCCATACCAATAGCTATGCTACCGCCAGCATAGCTCTTGGGGTCACTGATGTACTCAAGCCCCACCACCACGACAAGGTGCAGGTACCATTAAGTGGGGGTTTTTAACAACTGTAATTATTAAAGCTTTTGAATATAACTAGTTTTGTGGAATAGAACAAACCCAGTTTCACTTCTCAAATATGCACTCCGGCTAATGTTTCAAAGAAATGGATTTCCGTACTTGTCTTAAGGTATGCACTTTGTTGTTATTTTATTTTTTTCTTTCTGTTGAAAGGTTACAGATTATGACAAACAAAATATCTGAGGCTCATTTTTAAAAACCTGAAGTAAATTTTAACATCCCTAATTCTTTATTGAAATGTACTTGTGATTGTAATTATTTCTGTTTCTGTAGGAAATTAAAATTAAATTGACAAATTTATAAAATACTATAGTTAATAATTTGAAAAGTGTATTATAATTTTAAAATCTGGAAATATAAGACTTTTTTCATGGGCTTTCATGTGTATGTTAAAAGGCTAATAATACAAAGGGATGTTATATAAAAAATAAATAATTTAAGTATTTCAGTATAATTTTATTAAGAAAATCGTGGACAAATAATGGACTTATCTTTTGCCATCAGAAGGGGTGGAGCAAGGGAGCTCAGTGACTTCAAACGTGGTATGGTTATTGGTTGCCACATCAGTAAGCAAGAAGCTTTCAGTGGTGTAAAGAGCGCCGCCACTGGGCTGTGGACGACTGGAGACGCGTGATTTGGAGTGATGAATCACGCTATACCATGTGGCAGTCCGATGGGAGGGTTTGGGTGTGGCGAATGCTAGGTGAACGCTACATGCCAGCCTGTATAGTGCCCACAGTGAAATTCGGCAGAGGAGGGGTGACAGTGTGGGGGTGTTTTTCATGGAAGGGATTTGGTCCTCTCGTAATACTACGGAGCACGTTAAAGGCGGAAGGATATAAGGACATTTTGACCAGCTGCGTGTTGTCTACGGTAGAAGACCAGTTTGGAGATGATAACTGTGTTTCAGCATGACAATGCTCCCTGCCATAAAGCAGGGTCTGTTCGTGAGTGGTTTGTGGACAATAAGGTTCCGGAAATGGACTGGCCAGCCCAGAGCCCCGATCTCAATCCTATTGAACACCTCTGGAATGAACTAGAAAGGCGACTGCGCGCCAGACCCCAGCGACCCACATCACTAACTACGCTTGCTACAGCATTGCAGGAAGAATGGTCGGCCATTCCCCTGGCGACGTTCCAACACCTGGTAGACAGTCTCCCCCGCAGAGTTAGAGCTGTAATAAATGCCAAGGGTGGGCCCACCCCGTATTAATGTCCACTACTGGGCAGTAAATCCGAGGGACACTTAGAGGACAGTTTCGCATAGGTGTCCGGATACTTTTGATCAGGTAGTGTATATATGTTTGTCCTTATATGATGACGACTTGAAAATTACTTAGTAGATTTTCATGAAATGTGATAGTTAAGAGGTATATTACTAATTGTTTTTGATATCTTTAATATTAAATTTACAAAAATTATTTCTTTCCCTTTTGTAGAATTATACAATGAAAAATTAAGAGGAATTCTTTATATGGAATGTTTTGTATGTAAGTCCTATTGTGAAACCAGTAAAGAGACTGAGAATATGTTGGCTCTTGTAAAACCATGCGTTACTAAAGAGACTAAATAGAATAGTCAGCCAGATTCATTACCTGGTTTAATCAACACCACATTACAAGCACGGCAGCAAAAAGACACTGTTACCGTCTTTGAGTGTAATATTATTATTAACAGGGCAGATGGATAGAGCAGAGACCATTGCACAAGAAGCATTGGTAATTCTTCCACAGGAACCTTCACTTCATTTTAATCTTGCCAATACACTGGGAAAAGTTGGTCGCTTTGCTGAGGCAGAGAAGCATTTCAAAGACGCAATTAGCTTAGATATGAATAATGCTGTCTACTGCACCAATCTAGGTAAGTGGTTAGTCTCAACTGGCTGATTATAAGACATTTCCAAATTTTCCATGACTGCTTTTTTAGATATTATTTATAATGACATAATAACCATTATATATGAATATGTGTTCAACATCTCTGCTATTGCTGAACCAAAGAGAATTGTGCTTGAAGCAGAAATATTCTTATGTCAATATTGTGGGTATTGCAATTATGAGGTATGCCACCTGCCAGATGTCAGTATCTGGATGCATGTGGTGATTATGAACTGATTTTAGATGCTTGTATGGTGTCTTCTATTTTGAAGTTGTTTAAAGTAATTGTGCTGTTAAACAAATTTTATCACTTGATATGATGCTTTTGCGAAACTCATTATTGCATTGAGCATAGAGGTTAATAATTTCATGGCATCTGTGAAATGTATTTCTGGGGCTTATGTGCAGTGTTGGAGGAAGAACAAAGAAGAATAAGTACATTTATGCCTATGATAGATATGATATTTAAACAGCTGTCAAGGATGTGATCTAAAACAGGTGTAAATTTTAAAAACTTGGAGTTGGCCTTTTTTATTATGATTTCACTAGAGTAGTGACGTTTCTCAATGCCAGACACAATTCATGAATTTCTGCAATCCTACTTGATTATACCTCATACCACCTGATCACATTCAATACCAGTCCTAATCATACCAGAAGCACACATTCTTTATGAACAAGTAATTTAAATTGCAAAAAATCTTTTGGATAACCTTGGCATCACCATATGATACCAGTTGTTTTGTATTTTTATTTTTCATTTTCACTTACATTTTTGTTCTTTCTGTACATTTTATCTTTATGATTGAGGTTACAATTTTGTTGACGAAATTAACATGTAGAGTTAAATTTGGTCTGCCTGAAGACAGAAGGTAACTCCTTGAGAGAAGGGGTCTGGGTGTGGCTCTTTATAAGAAATGCGTTTTCTGGATCTAAAATGGGCCATTATGAAGTAATAAGGGATGGAGGAATAAAGTTATGTTTGTGGCAGAGATTTGTATATAAGAAAATTATAATAATTGTTTGCCTGTACAAGTTCTAAGATGTTCTTTTATATTTTTACAGCGTGAAAAGTGGGTTCTCTTTTATTCAATACCATTTTAGTTGGTTAATGCAATATTATTTAATACATGACACTTTTTAAATGCTGTTTCTTTTTATTTTTAAAACCTTTTATTGCAAGAAACTCCATTTCTCTGTATGACATTAGGCAGCACTTGGTAACATGTGATGTGTATGAGCAGTGCTTGAGACCAGTTCACAGGCCAATCAATGAGAGTATCTGTGCTGCAGTGGAGCATCTCTATCACTAGTGCATTATAGTAGTGTTTTATAACATAAAGAACAAAAAGGTTTTACCTCACCATTTGCCAGATTTAATTATATTTTCTAAGGGGTGTGAATGATATTGATATCTTCCACATGGAGGTTCTTTTGTCAATCCTTTTACTTTCTGACAAGTTTTTATGTTTGTTCTTAGCTGCATATTAGTTGGTCATTCTTTAATTTTAAACTTCTTTTCTTCATTGCATCAGTGTGTCAATGATTGGGTTAAATTACAATCATGATTTCACTGAAAAAGTTGTCTTCGGCGTAGTATTTGGTAGACTATGTTATATAATTTTAATTTTGTGTAATTTTTCTCTCTTTTAGATGTCATATTTGTATAGAGTTCTCAAAAATTTAAGTGATTATCTTTTTGTGTTGTAATTATGACTTGAAAATGTATCATATAGGAGTACTGTATCATCGCTGGAAAAAATATGATAAGGCTGAACGATTATACAGACAAGCTCTGGAAATAAATCCACAGCTTCAGAGTGCCAAGGATAATATGGCTCTCCTCAACAAGGCTCAAAATAGAATAGCAAATCAACAGTGATACATTACATCAACCTCACCTTCACTGCCAAGAAGATGCTTTTGTCACAGAAGATATTGTTTTTTAGAGCAATTTCCCCTTTAAGGACTCTCATTTTTTCTTCCACAATGAGCACCGCCATTCACTCCAATATCACCCCTGCACCGCTGACCCTCATTCCAAAAGAATGTGCTGGTTGGGCGACATAACAGGTTACCGCTACTGTTTATTCCAAAAACATTGTGCGTCTTTCGGTATTAATTTATCTCTAAACCCAGCATTTTAAATTCTCAGGAACGATCATTGCGGGAAAATTGTGGGCCGGGACTAAGATTTTTGAACGATCGATGCGATAAAACGATAGTTCGAGGAACGATAGAAGCGGGAAAATGTAACATTATTTTATATGGGATGTATTCGGGACCGGACAAAACGGACGATGCATCCGGGAAAACGATAGTTCCGGGAACGATGGATAGAGGTTTCACTGTATATACTAGATTTGACCCTTTCAGTATTATTGCCTGACAGAAAACTGTCTATATTACATCATGACAGGAATAAACTGCTTGCTTGTTGGTATATTCTTCATTATTATATCTATTTATAGAGCGAGAAGAACAATCATTTTTGGTTATAAGAATATGTGATGTTTAAGATATACATACAGGTAGCCCTCGATTTACGCCGGGGATGCGTTCCTGGACGAACTGGCGTAAATTGAAACTCTTTTATAATGTAAATCAATGGGAAGTCAATGACATGTGTTCCCAGCACCCAAACATTGACGAGTAATATAACGGCATTACATTTAAAGCTCTGAAATTACATAAATAAAATAAAGGGAATTTAAAAAATATATTTTATACACTTACAATTGGCAATTCGTTCGTCCCCGCGATTGACTGTGATTCTTTCATGTGATTGATGTGTACAGTCATCTCTGCTGTTATGCGATAGTTGCATTCATGTAAGACGTTGACCTGTAGAAAATTGCGTAGTAAAAATAACCCCGGTACCTCCGTAGAGATTAAATTAATCCTTTGAAAGTTTAAAGCGCCAGGAATGAAATTGCATAAGAGCAAACTCTCATATGCAAAAGTTTGCATTTCACAAACAGCTTTTACCGATTCATCGATCTCATTGGAGCAAATTTGCGTTAACGAAACATACGTAATTGCAGAGGTGGCTGTATTTATAATTTTTATTCAAAATCAGCAATGTAAGAATTACTATTTAGTATAAGAAGCAGTATGAGGAACATTGTAAAACGTTATAAATAATAGTAAAATATATTTTTTTCACTTTTTGACTTGCTGGTTTCAAAATCGCGCAAATCGAGGGCTACCTGTACACTGTTTTCTGTGGAGCTGTACTTACTCCAACTAACACAGTGAGAACAGTATGCAGAACTCAGAATGTACTCTGGTTAACATTCAGAGGGTTAATATTTCACATAGCTGTTCCTTATTCATTAGTGCAGTTGTCTAAATATTTTTATTTTAACAGCTGTGAAGCATTCTGACTGCTCTGTTAAAAATGTCAGAAATTAACACAGATACCTGTAAAATTTTTAAGACATTCAGCTTACAGGCTTGTCTGTTCTGATTGAATGTTTGAGACTGGCATAGTATGTTGTATTGAAACAAATGGAATCAAATTATAGTTATGTTATTTTAGAATGTAAAAATATTTTTACGTCTCCTTGTAGCACATTAAGTAAACACTCAGTATAAATTGATATCTGTGTAGGTTGTCCTTTAATTGTTAGGAATTGCTATTTTACCTAATGTTCCTCTTGTATTTCATGTAATTACCAGTCCATGTTAATTTTGTACTTTGGTTGAGGTATGTTTTTGTGAAAACTGTTTAGTCATCTAATGTAATCTAGGCACTGTTTTATATGACGTCTTTCTTACTTTCATATTTTTTTATATAAATTTGTTAAAAATAATTAAGTCTTGCTTGTAATAATGTTAAATAAAATATATGTAACTGGAAACATGATAGTTTGGTCTCAAACCTGCCCTTACATTATAGGAAAGTGCTATCATCACTGTATTAGAAGAGCTACATGTAATAACAGTTTATTTTTGTGAAATATTTGTCACACTCAAAAATATAAATTGCAGCTCAGTTTGTACATATCTACTCTTGAACACATTTTTTGTATGTCAACATTGTTTTTAATTGTCTTTTATTAATATTTCTACCAGGGATGATTCATTTTATGACAAAGCATGCTCTGTCCTCTCATAAGTGTTCCACTTCTTTGTGTGTCTTTTCCTATTTTTGTATATCCTCTCTAACTTTGTGTTTACCTACACATTAGACTTCCAGTGATGTATTTGCTATCTTTTAGACAGTACCACCAGCATAGCTCAGAGTCAAATCATAGCTTGCAGTCTCCTCCACTATGTGAGCTAGTACAGGCATTAAGGTGCCTTATCCATTTGAGACAAGAAAAATTGTACAATTGTTTTCTAGGCACCTTGACCGGATACTTGAAGTAATCTTATAACTTGATACTACATAATTGCATAATGGATTTATGGTGCAGATTAGTATGCGTTATACCAAACTTTTTTCCAGTGTTATCCGACTGCAAATAATACTTACTACTTGGTATGGTCGTTGAATGTTTTAGAGTTCCACATGACTTGCATAATGATTTATGATTAATATCTGAAATATGCATTAAAATTAAAAATTTCCTTATGCTAAACTAGCATTCCAATAAGGTGTACAGGGAGTGTTTGGGTAAAATTATACATATTGTGGACTTTGGTACAGGATGGACATGAATGGACAGTACCCTTGGTTCTATGGAACTGTAGGATAGATGGTCCCAGACCAGTCTGGTTATGGTGGTAAAGAGGAATGTCTCTGCCCTACCAGGTATCCCAGCTTGTAGCCAGACACTACAGTCTTTTGTTACAGTGTGGAATGTGTTTGATTTTTCCTTATTTTCTCTCCCTTTCTTTATGTAAAATTCCTTTGAGACATTCAAGCTGGAGTTATTTTCTAATATAAATTTGGTTTTATACACGAACTTAAGTGACAGGAAAATTCCATAAGAGATCTTGAAAGTGACATGAACTAGTTTATCCTAGTTTCTACCAGATGCTTGAAGTAATATTTGATCTGTTGCAATGGGAAAATTCCTTTTCATTTTCTGAAAAAGTTTTCATTGTGTAATAATACAACATAAGGTACACATTTCACAATGTAATTATTTTGTTGTCTCCTATGTACATATGTGATAGACTATCTATGACCTAAGAAGGACTATTATTTATTTAGTGTTCCATCTTATCCGCATTTCTTTGAAGGATTTCTGTGTTTGAACTATAGTAAAGGAGATGGTACAGCTATGATCAAGAGTTGGATCACAGTACAAGGTACAGTGAAACAGCAGTAATAAATGCTGTTTGTGATGTGTATTATCCAAAACATTATTGGAACTTTAGTAGAAGAATTATCATCATCAGTAGGCCTAGTTGGGCTGTTCAAAATTCTACAACAGAATCTGTTGGATATCTTCCTACTTAATTTTACCTGTTTCTTTGTATGGGCATGAAACTTGGCCACTAACCCATGAAGAAAAACTCGCATTGAACATGTCTGAGAATGGGGTACTGAGGAGAATATACCAGTGAGACAAGGAAGTACAAGGTGGCTAGAGAAAATTGCATAATGAACTTCATAATTTGTACCCTTCACCAAAAATGATTAGGATGATTTAATCAAGATGGATAAGATGGTTGCAGCATGTAGCATACTTGTGAGAAGTAAGAAATAAATAGAAGGATCATTTTAAGAAGAGTCATAAACAAATTGGGGTGTGAGGAGGTAGATTGGATTAGTGAGCTCATGTAAACATGGTAGTGATTTTTTAGGTTCTATAGAGTGACAGTTTGCTTCTCCATGGAGTTACTCAAATTGTGTAAATAAGAGGATTTACCCCTCAACCCTAAGAGATGGCATTTCACTTACTACCTCTACTACTATGCCATGATACTTAATTCATTCTGAGTGGAGTCAGTCACTTTAAGTCTTCTATAATTTTACATGTTTCAATGAATTAAAAAAAATTAGAAATACTCTTCAAACTTTCATAATCACAATTTTAAATAGTCTCTTAATACATAAATTTGGTGAAACTGAGAAATGAATATACCAAAGTTCAAGTATTTAAATTCAGTGCACTTCTCTTTTTATTATTTTAAAATCTGTTTTTACAGATTTGTAATTTTGTTTTAGCATTTATTATTACTGTTGCCTTGAATTGCCTTCCTCCACACATTTACTACACAGACAAACCACGGATATGCAGTATGAACTATTTCAGCAAAAAGTAGCCGAGTAAGATTTGAGGTTTTCATGGTGTGGGTCCAAAGTTTGCTGTTTCCTGGGTCGTAGAAAAGTGCTGCAATCTTTATAACATTTGATATTTTTGGATAGAATTAAATTCAATCAAATGTACTTGTTTATTTCATCACTGTCTTGTGTTGTATAATTAGTTCAATTCATAAGCATCATGGCACCATGTATTTCCATATTAATACACCTTAAATCTGTTTCTTGTGCTCTGGTTTTGTGAGGTCTTTCTTACATTTATTGCCCTGTTATCTAAATGCTTGAAGCAACTTAATGTTGAAAACATGAGTGGCATAAGAATTTAAGCTGCCTCACAGCACCATATTAAGTACCATGATGAAAAATGGGAGATGGAATAGATAAATTCAAAAAATAGTTTCATTCTGTTGTCTGTAATCCCTTGCAGTGTAAAGTATTATTGTGTATTTATCCAGTTATACAATAATTACTAAATTTTTGTTTTTAATATAATTAAGTCTGAGGATGAGACCACTTTACAGTTTTAAAAATGTATCAGTCCATCTTCCTTAATCATATCCTTTGTCTCTCCATTCTGTTGGATTGTAAGAGTATATTATTCAGGTACTTTGGAATAACTGGACATTTGTGACAGCTGTACCCATTAATTTGCCTTTGTGCATTTATCTCACGTATTTTTCAGTTCTTCTTTTGCATCACAACTCTGTTTAAAAATATAGATGTAATTTTAATATTGAAGTTACACAGTATAAATAAGATAGCCAGCCAGGTAGTTATAAAATATCAAATGAAGGGTGTGTGTGATTGAGTGGTTGCAATTATTTTTTGACCAACAGCTGAGTGGCAGCTCATGGTTAAGGTTTCATAAAGCGGTAGAAACTCAAAGAGTTTCTATGTAATGAAGCGCCGCGGTGGTCTAGCGGTTAGAACGCTGGCCTTGTAATCCTGGGGTCTCGGGTTCGATTCCCGGCGGTGCCCGAATTTATAACTTGTGTTGAGCAAGGCCGTGGTCTAGGCAACACGGAGTTTTCCTCCGGGGCTTCCCCGGTTTCTCCGTGGTATCCCAACAATTACTCCATTCACACACAGAAGAAGGCAATGGCAAACCACTTGTGGATCATCTGCCAAGAACGTATATGAACAGGTCCCAGTCCGAGAAAAGGATGGAAGGATCCTGTTCATATGGACCTGTAGTCAGACAGAACAATAAATAAATAATAAAATAAATGTAATGAAGAAATCTGAGTATTGAAGTGTGTTAGCAAAGTTTGTTTTATCCTTGTAAGTAACATCCTGAATGTTTAACTTCAAGAAGACGTTCGAATGTTGATGATTTATTGATAATTGAGATGAGTACAGTTCGTGTGAAACACAATGTTGAATATATGTAGATAGAAATGAATGAGTAGACCAGCAGAGTTTCCCCCTGACGAGTAACGTGAAATGTCCAATGTGTCTTCGAAATTCACTGGTTATAAGCAAATCCCCGATATCACCCTTGTGACGTCAGTGACGGTTTTTTACATGCAAGCTGTAACGTGTCATCCCAAGGCGTGGTTCTAGATCCATTTAGAGGACACGATAAACCCCCTAGGAAAGCGACCCCTTGCCCCGTCAAAGTTCGGGCGTCCTGACCTCGGCAGGCCTTCTCTATCTGTGAATATAATTGGAATCTTTTTCAATTAACTTATCTGGAGCAGACACGATAATGTTTTCCTGTCGCCCCTGTCTACAACAGCTGGAAATGGAAAGTCTTGCTTTCTGTACAAGGTCTACAATATGACACTGCTACACTTTATTTAGTAACTTAATAACTCTACCTTATAATTAATTATATATGTGTTATATGTGGTTATTATGATTCCCCGTAATTAGATTATTCTACATAAGTATACAACACCTCCCCCTTTTCTAATAAAAAATAGTTAAGGACAGTCCATCTATGATCATTAATTTTTTTCTTCTTCTAACGTTTATCTGTCGGCAATACTTTGCTTGCTACCCTCCTATCTTGAGGCGTAGAAGGTGTAGGGTTGGATAAAATAGTTATTAGCTCCGTTTCTTCTATGGCGTCCTGACTTCTAGTCACGTTCAACTGACCTGGAGGTACAGACACTCTCATTTGAGGTGTGAATTTTCGTAACTATCTTAGGTTTAAACAATATAGTGTGGCAAGGCCCCTCTCCATCAAACCACTTCTAAATCTTTGGCCCTCCGCACTTACAACAACATACATACATCAAAATACATACAATTACTCCAACTACACGCATTCCCACATAGATGAAAAATGATAAAGATCTTGTTTTTTCGGAATGTTCCAACTTCCATTGCTGTTCTTCAATCATTGCTTCTACTTCTGATAATTTGTAGCTTGACAGTTTTAGCTCATCTGTATGGGTTATAATAGTTTTGGTTGGTGTATCTAAATTAATGTTATCTAATTTCAGTTTCTTACCTGTCTTCTCACAACGGTCATATTCCAAAGTTATGGGTGGGATTACGTCTTTATTAGTGAGATTCACTTCTCGGCTAGCATGTGATGAATTAAAACTTGAGATCCATAACCTGAACACGGTTTCAAGAATGTAAATTTGCCTAACCCGTTAATGGTTACATCTACAGGATCGTGGTCTGGACAAGTAATTGTCATGTGTTCGGCATATGGCGCTACATACAACCAAACGTTATCTCTTAATTGTGTCTACAATGTTTCCTTCAATTCAACTATTCTTTGAGAACAAGATTCTGGAATACCAGAACTGTATTGCAAAAGTCTTACTTCACAGTCTGCAACTGAATGTACTATTTGTACTGGGAAATTTTGCTTACACACACGAAGTTCTGAAGTCTCTAATCTGCACTGACCTATTTCAGTTTGGCTTAAACGAGTATAATATTGTCTCGTTTTGTCTATCAATACAAACTCCTTTTCAGGT